TGTGTACCTTGTCCACAAGAAAAGCCAGTCAGTTAATGACCCTTTTTCTGGCCTCATGCATAGCAATAGTGTGTTACTGACTATTCACTACCTGTGCACAATGGTGCATACCCATGACCACAGCACACAGAAGACTGAACCCCATAGAGTCACCACATTATTATGCAGCAGCACAGTATGCACATATTTAAAAGGGTCAGGCAGGTCTCACTGTGTGCTGAGTGTTGACAGCAAGCAGTGTGTGCCCTACTATTTTGTGCATGCAAAGTCCACAGGACTGGTCCCAGAGTCCACTGAATCATGCATACTGGAGCATTGATCTGGCCAGAGGAGCGCGCAGTCTTGTTTGTGGGGCCTTGCTGCTCAAACCTCTCAGGAGAATTTACTCTCGTTATCCCTCATTGACTCAAAAAATGTTCGCGACTTGAGTTTGGACCTGAGACCACATTGGTACACATGCAGCATGCATTATTGAAAAGTACCGACAATTACGTGTAGTCCGTGAAGATTGGAATAGCAGATTGGCCACAGTGATTGGAATTCATGTTTCTGACTCAATTTTGTGTCTCATTTGGGCAAGTGCATTCACCGCCATTCACACTGTCCATTTTGTTGCAGTGTGAATTGATTTGTTTTCATCGCAGCAAGCATTTTTAGTAGACTTTTTCTTCAGACTACTGATAATACAACACCTGAGTGCTTGAGACTCCCGAGAATGAAGTGAATTTGAGGATGAGTACATCAGCACACCTCAATCTCTTAGTCAGTTCTACTTTGCTGAATTTACGTTCATTGTAAATTAAAATATTTTCTCTGAAAGTGACAGCGGTTGGCTACACGTGATAACTTGACGTGTACTTTACCAGTAGTTGTGGAAATAAGGCTGCATCCGCATCTCTTGTCTAGAGCTAGGTCTAGGTCTTTGCTCCATTGGAAATGTGTGGAGATGTGCAGGCAATAGACCTAGCCATACATGTAGCTCTGGAAGCCCGTTTTGAACACAGCCTAAGTTTGAGTTTACGCTAGTTTCTGTTGGAAGACGTCCTTGACTTTCATGCAAATTGTACTGCGACATAAGTTTTGAAACCACCCAGCAGGAATTTCCTTTTTCTGACTGTTGCACTGCATTTTTTCTTTTGAAGCAGAAGCTCAGCAGAACACCAGCATGAGTTCAGAAACCACTACAGAGGCTACCGGTGAAGCAGGTAAATTGCGGAAGACAAGAGTTCAGCTGCTAATTCGTGAAGGCTGTCACCGACTCTCCATTAAACATTAAAATTCTGACACTTTGAGGCAGAGTTTTCCTTCTCCGGGTAGGGCCTATATGTCACACATAAGGGCAACAGTTGTCCTCAAACTGAATGGTTGACGAAGTCCTCAGACCTGTGGACAAGCTGGTTACCGTTTGTCCTCAGACTTTTCAAGAATCTTGCTTTTGAGTCCTGGCACAGGTCAATTAGAGAACTCTGAGCCCCGGGGCACTGTGTATTTTCTGTTTTAGTCCACATTCTGTTTTAGAAAAAGCTACAGTAGTAGTGAGGTTGATTTGAGCCCCCAAAGGCAAGTTTGCTTTAATGAATCTTGAGCCAAACTCGTAAGACCTTGCTTTGCTTTGAATGTCCATGACCAGCGTATGCATTGAACTTTTTAAAATTTTGGGCATTTCTTTTGGAGTTGAGTACTCCAACCCTAAGAGAGGACTGCATTTTTTCTAAAGTTTTTTTTATGATTGCATTTGTCCTCAGACATGTATACAGTCGAATGTTTTGTTAATATCAACGCTGTTAATACAAGGGTACAACATTCTTCTAATAGAAAGGCCATCTTTAAGTTCCAGTTAAGTTACGGTCCAAAGAGCCTCTCATAATTGAGGTTTGATTGTACTTTCGTAGAATGACCAGATAAATTCGGTCTTCCTTCAGAAGTTTATTTTTTTTTCAAATTGTTTTTTTTTTCACCTTTACATGGATTTACATTGTACATCCATTTTTCTCCAGGCTCTGCTACAGCCGCTTCCACCACTGTCACCACGGCTTCTGCCGCTGCTGTCGTGGCGGCAGCAGCTGCCGCTGCCAAGACCCAGGCTGGAGCAGCGATGGTCCAGCAGACGGTCACCCAGGTGCCCGTAGCGGCCACATCTCTGTCCATCCCCATGCTGCAGGCCCAGCTGGCCAGCTCGGGGGCCCAGCAGATCGCTCAGCAGATCCAGGCCCAGGCGCAAGCCCAGCCGCAGTTCATAGTCAATGTAAGACCTGAGATTCCACACAAACCGTCTTCCCGTTGGACTTTAGAGGAGCCCGATAGTGCACTTGAAGTTTGGCGTCACAATCCTGTGCCCATTGGATTAATCAGTCGCAGTAAAACTACTGTGGCTCCTCAGAAAGTTGTACTGCAGGCACTTTTGCCTTGTTAAAGGGTAGCTGCACTGCATAAATTTGTAAACAAACCTTCAGAAATTCACCTTTACATCTCAGCGAATATCGTTTTCAGTCTTCATTTCACTGTTTTAAAGAGTACTCTGCTGCCTTTTTTAGTTGATGCCAATGAATACTTCCAGTTTGACAATAAAAGAGCATCCGGGGCTGTTGTACACGTAGTGTACCACCAGTTAGACTTGTATTCCAGTCTTTTTTTGCATATGCAGCATTTCTGTCCAAGTCAAACACTGAACAGGAACCGAGTTGTGCCCTACTGTTCTCCCCACTGATTCAACACGCACATTGAACGACATATTACCAACTGACGACATCTTGCACCACAAACCAATTGCACTCAGTCATTGTACTTTGCCGTTACACGAAGAAGACGGACACTGGGTTTCACTGCGTACAAGTACATGTACTTCTGTTTTGGTTGCACAAAGACTTTGAATTGACATTGTAATCCTTTCTGAGCTGGACTGCAAACAGCACCGGTGATGGTGTTGTGGCAGAGTCCATCACAAGTCCCTTCATGGTTCCTCGTGTAAGTCTGCTTGAAAGACCTTTTGTAAGTCTGCTTTCAAGTCATTTTTTTTAAAGACCGGTCACAAGTCCCCGGGCGAACAATCAAAGAAGAGTGCTTTCGTTGCAGTTCGTTTGAATGGCTTGTGACTTGACTTACAAAGTCTGAATGGCTTGTGATATCCTCGTTACAGACTTACAGGAACTTGTGATGGGTGTGACCTCAACTTAACACAAACAACTTGAGAGCACGGGTGGCCAAAATTGTTCTTTTGGCTCCAAACATTGTAAAGTTTTTGATCTAACCAATTGTGGCCTCTCTGATGGTTGAAGCTACACTTTGTGGCATTTTATACACATAAGTAAGAAAAGGAAATAGCCCCCCCCCAAAAAAGTGTCCTGTCACTTGTGAAAAAACCCCCCAAATTTGTTGCTCCTCTTTGGGGGGTGGGGAGGAGGGGATAGGAAGGGGGAGCGTGACCCCTGTTCCCCCTGGATCCACACTTGCTGCAGAGAAGCAGTGAGTACATGTACACCGAGGACAGTCGCAGGTCATTCCGGTATGTACGCATTGTTTAGATTTGTCAACGGACTCTGATTCTTTCAGCGTCTTTCTCTGTGTCTTGTACAGGCTGCCCCCCAGATGTTGTTACAGGGTTTGCCGCTGGCTCAGGCCGTTACGCAAAAGGTATACTTTTTTTCACCAACCCCCCCTTCCCCTCTTGATACTGTCCAAATCACGGTTTTGCCCCAGGCCGTAAGCTTCCTCTCAGGATCAAGAGTCACAAAAAGTGAAATGTATACAGTTGGGATAAGAAAAAAGTTCTTCTGTAAATTTGACCCTTGTCAGGCGAGTTGACATTTTTGGTAGCAGAGAATGGAGAGTGGGCCCCAGAGGTGTAGTGTTGTGGTGGAGTTTTTCACAAGTCGCTGCAAGTTCATCACCAGTCTTCCAGTTGTAAAGCAAGTTCCAAGCTATTCTAATGAACTTTGGCAGAGGCATTCATTTGTCATTGTCCATATTTTTTATTGAACTGATCTTGTGAAAGGACTGGTGTGTGGACTAATGAATTATGATAGGACTTGTGATTGACTGGACTGCAAATACTTGGCCAGATGGTCTCCCCTCCAGATGGGCCAACAGGGACACTTCTATCTACTGTATTTCACTACAACTTAAGTGGAAGCCTGTGACAAGGACAAAGCCGTGGTTTGGAAAGATCTACCCATGGGACCTGATTCCATTTGGAACTGTCTTTCAAGCAGAAGCACAGCTCACCCCTGCAGGAGTACATGCCTGCATCGGTACACCTGTTGATATACATTAGCAGATTGGTCAATTTGCTTTCAGACGGTTAACATCTCTGTTAGGGAGAAGTGAATTGAGTACTCAACTGATTCCATTCGTTTGTATGGCACCATAAACTAGGTTACATGTACACTTAACCATGAGGTGGTGCTGTATCTGCACCGTGCACCTTTTGCCACACTAGTCACAAATTGAATTTCACCTCGTAAATCAGGGTTTTTTTTAAATTAAACATTGTTCCCAAGGAAGCCGTTTTTGATTGTGTTCCTCATATTGATTCTGCTCAATGTAATCTGTCAAGTGGGGTGGTGCCAGACTATTTTGGTTCCAGTCTTCACTTTAAAGTTTTTGTAATGTTGCTTAAAATATTAAGATATTGTAAATTACAAATTTGCAGTTGTTCATCTTAAAGGAAGTTAGTCTGTAATGAACTTTAATTTCTTTGCCCTCATTTTCATTCTAAGGTTCCCCAAATGGAAAAGGTTAACCTCACTTTGAATTCAATATGGCTGACTTGTAAATAATGCCAATTGTCCCAGCGTAGTCTGGGTGCAGTGTGTGTCAATCAATGGCAAGATATGACTCGCAAAACCAATAACCAGAATACAGGGATAGTATGCATGTGCAGGATTTCAGTGTTCTAGTACATATGTATGTCTCTCTGCACTGTAGTGTGATATTACGGGGTAGCTGGAGTGATAACGAGAAGCCACTGGTGATCCACCGGGCAGCCTCGTGGATACAGTACAGATTTTGTTAAAGTACTGAAGCATATTCCAAGCCAGATGAGAATGACCGTGCGCACGTGATGCGTTGCACCAGGGTAGAAAAGTTCTTCATTGTTCTGGCAAAGGAGAAAAAAAATTAAGGCAAAGTGGCTTGCTTAAGGACACCCAAGTGTTCAAATCACCTGGCTGTCTCAGATACCCATTGGAGGATTGCCTTTCTACGCATCACTGTGCTTATTAATAACGGATTTAACAAATAAATTGTCTCTTTGTCATTGCAGCAGCAGCCGCAGGTGTTTAGCCTGCAGGGGCTGCCCCTCAGCCAAGCTACTGCAGCAGCTGCCATGGCAGCTGCAGCACAGAAGGTCCAGGCCCAGCCCATCGCCGTCAGCAATGCAAACCTCATTCAGCAGGTGAGCCCATCTATACAGGTACACGTAGCAGTGTCATTCAATTTTTTTGTCATTTTCCCGAGCATTTAAAGCCTATACCTGTTTCCTCTGAGCCAGTTGGTTCCCAATTCGATCAGAAAAATTCCTTCTAAAGAACAGGTTCTTTTCCAGTGGAATCACAGCAACAGCGCCATCGTTTGTCAGGAAAAGCATAGAAAAGTTGTACATGTAAATGTGACATCAGACAGTCTTTGTATATGTAGGAGGTATGGAGGGTTGTACATGTACAAAATGCATTTTCCCAAGTGAGGTCATGGGCTCACAGTTGATGTTGGTCCCGAGCCAAGAGGATCTGCGGGATGTGTGCATTATACAGTTGAAATGCTCATGAAAGTACATGTGCATGTAGACAATTGCAGTTTTGTAATGACGTTTTCCAGTTTGCGATAAGCTCAGTAGAGAAGAATTTTCAGATGCTAGGGAGTCTCCAGTGATTATCACAATCATCACAACGTTGAATAATTTTTGTGATGAATGGGATTTTCTGCTTGCCTTAGATTTCAGCTGTACATGTGTACAACCACATACACATGCACAAGTACTGTACATGTACATTAGTGAACATTTCCGCAAAGCGAACCAAGGATTCCTTAAAAATGGCCCAGGCTCTGTAGCTTGTTGGCCTGCAGAAATCTTTAGGGAGGTGACAGTGAGAAGCAGTTACAGTTTTAGAGGTGGGAGGAAAATCCCAGAGGAATATTCTGGGTGAAACCCACGAAATCAAGGAGGGACTGAAAACTGAATCCGCATGTGGACTGAGCTGGGATTCACACCCAGGCCGCAGAGATGGAACGCGAGGAAAGAACCACTATGCCAACCTGGCTCCCGTCCTGTCCCGTTGGAGTCTCACTCTTGTCTTCTCTCTCTTCTCTCCCTCCCGCAGGGCAACCTGTCACGGATCCTTCAAGGCCAGCAGGCGCTGCAGACTCAGCTCACCTCTCAGCCCCAGAGCTCGGCCGCAGCCGTGGTGGCCGCTGCCGCTGCTTCTCAGAGCCAGGCCCAGACTACGGTGCAGGCCACCTCCCAGGCCGCAGCCGCTGCCACCACAGTCCCCGTCACGCTGGCCCAGGCGCTGTCTGCCCAGCAGCTGCAGCTGCTGCAGCAGCAAGCGGCGGCGGCCGGACCGGTCCAGTTGGTGAGTTGATTGCAAGAGTGACGGTGTCAATGGGGCAGCGGGGCATCCCTGGGAATACATCACAGAAAATCTGTGACTGCTCTGACTGACTATCGTGCCTTCTTAAAGACCCAAAACTGGTACAACATTAATTATTTCTCAAGTACTGGACCAGAGGAACTGTTAAATTTATTTAAAACCTCACAATCTAAAGAAAAAACATACCAAGAATGGCAGATTTCAAAAAAGACAACCAGTTTCCGCAGTTGTTCTTTGACAGTTGAATCTCTGTAAACTTCTGTAGCAATCTTTCTCTGATTTTCCAAATTACTGATTACTATTGTATTTGGCCTTCTACACATACATGTACACGTACACTGGCTTAAAATTCAGCCATTTTTCCAGCACCTTAAAGACCAGAACCTTTAATTCCCAACTGCATGAAGGGCCGTTTTAACACGCAGTGCCCTTGTTTTTCATTGTTTTGTAAATCAGCACAATTCTTGAACAGTCCTTCATTGCATCATTGTCTTGCCATGCCCATTTCACATTCATGTACACCTCTGAAAGACCAATCCAAGGGGGGTAGACCTTTGTCAGTGGGTTTGGTGTTCTTTTCAAATGCTGCCAAGGGTTTTCAGATTAGTCTACAAATTCTGAGGAAAAGGGCATAAAGGTACAGTCCATCAGTTGTCCTTTGTGCAGTCTAATCCTTTGAGGCAATGAAATTCAGCGGCTTTTTTTGGATAACTACAAATGATGGACTGTGCCTTTAAAAGGGGGCAGGTTTTGATCAGCGGGACTGGTATAATCCCGTCGCCTTGGTTACAGGTCCCCTGACAATTTGGCCCTACCTAAGTATGGGTACATCTTGAAAATACCACCATTTATCTGTAATTTAAGGCAGATACTGGTAGTCTTCCTCTCTGACAGTCTCAGATAATCACTGGTTCCCATGGTTGTTTTTGTCCTATTTTCATAGTGCATGTTTTGCATCTTGCTTAGCTGGCTGCATTGATACCCCTCCTGCTTTGCTTTTGCATGTTCTGCTAACTCGCTGAAAAGTTTTTATGCAAACCTGATTTATTTTTTGTTGTTTGTGCTGGTTCTCGCGCTCCGTTCCCCTCCCCTGTCTCTCCCCCCTCCCCCTGTACATTTCCTCCCCCTCCATCGTTGCAGCCTTTCACAGACCTAACTAAGATGTGGCAGCCGGGGAGCCAAATGCCCACCCAGATCCCGGGACAGGTTGGTGGACAGTTGCAACAGCAGCAGCAACAACAACAACAGCAACAGCAGCAGTTGCAGCAGCAACAGCAGCAACAGGCTAAGGTGTCAATCCATTCTGATGTGTGGCGGGGGGGTTGAAACTCACGTCTCTCTCTCTCTCTCTCACAGAAAAAGCAGGACCTCTCCTGTCTACTTTGCACTACCTGCTTTCTCCTTTTTCCTCTCAACTAATTTGGCCTTTGCTTCTTCCTGTTCTCTGTAAAGTGTAAACTGCTCCACTGTGGTTTCAAACCCATCCTTTAGACCACTGGAGGATTTTGCAGCTCAAGAGTGCTTTTGTTACTCAAACCTCATACGCTGTGGCCGTTACACCTGTGACACTTGTTCTCCAGTGTGACCGACACCACTATGGAAAGTTTCTCCTTTGCATGTTCTTGAAAAAGCAAACCGACCTTACTAGCTTTGCACGTCCGGGCTTGAAATCCTTGCCGTTTTAGCTTGCACTGCTGCACACCCAATCCGGTGGTGGTTTTGGCATTAATGTACCGTACATGTAACCCACCCCTGTGCTTCACACTCAAGGCTCCATTTCCATTTCCCCAAGATTACTTTCAATCCTTCACTGCTCACAGCCTGCGGCCTCTACAGTGACTGAATGTTAACTTAACCCTCCTTTTGCTGTAACCGTCAAAAACAGTCCAAAATTGCCTTCCACTTGATTTCCCCCAGCACGGAGACACATGTGGAAAATCTGACTGGTTTTGACTGATAGGACAACTGTGTCAAGAATGTGTCTTTGCATAGGAGGGTTAAAGAAGTGTGGTTCAAGTCCATCACAAGTCTAATTGTCTGCAGAATTGAATATGTGTACAAGTACTTGGAATATGGTACCTGTGTCCTCATAGACCATTGTCATTATGCTGCCATGTTTGTCTTGTTTCCCGTAGCCCCTTTGGCAGTACCGGTAGTAATACAACTTTGCATATTGGTAAAACGGGAACAGGGAACAGTTTGGTTACATTGCTTTTGAATGGTAGAAAGCAAGATGGCTGCCCCATGATAGAGGCTTATCTGCGCTGAGCGGAACAGGAGAGGGTGTGGTTATTGGGTACTCACTGTAGAGGCGCACCATGAGGCGCGAAAGTATATGCGCGTTTGACGCAGAGCACGCTGAGTACGCGTAACTACATTATGCCGACTTGTATTGTCTTTGCGTACACGCAGAACGCGTGCAAGAACCCACTCGTAATCACCTGTCTTAAGTTCTTTGCCCATTGGGGGTGCACTTCAGCTCGGGGCGGATAGACTTGGAGACAGGATGATTTGTGATGGACTTGTCCTTTTTACAGCGTTTCCACCTCAGGCTTGTGTGAAAATACCTAGCTACTGGTCCACGCTTAACATAAACACAAGTGCAAAGGTTAAATTTTTATAACAAACTTGAGTTTGCATTATACTCTGTACATGCATGTGATAGATTCCTAACAATCCCAGATCCTCCCATTTCAGTATGATTTCACACGCACCCTAAGGGGCTAGGGTTAGTAGTCAAAGAGTGGTGCAGTTCCTAGTGCCCATGTGAAGGGGTGTAGCAAGATTGTATTGAACTAACACTGATGTGACCTTGCCACAGAGGGATAATGAAGTAGTTTTTCAGTGACATTTATCTTTGTGGGTCAAGAGTCACCTTTTCCTGTATCTGTTTTCTGAGTGTTCCCCTTACAGTACGATGCAATGAAATAATTACATTTGTATAGCGTTCTTACGAACTATAAGTTGTTTTACAGCGCTTGACATCAATAACGAAACGAAAAGTAGAGTTTTGAGATGTTTCTTGAAAACCTCCAAAGAAGGGGACAGACGAACGAATCTTGGAAGCTCGTTCCAGAGTCTAGGAGCAGACTACTACTGGTATCTCTGTCCTCACCACCTGACCGCAGCCGCGCTTGGCTGTCACCGCCCGTTCAATTGTTGGAACTTACAGAGCTCAAACCTTGTCTGTTCTTCCCTTGTTTTGATTGCATGCTGCACATTTTAATGTTTGCTAATTTCACAAGGTACTGACATGTAGTCTTCTATTTCCGACTCATTTTCAAATCAAACGCATTCCTCCGCTGGCAAATTTTCCAGATAAGCACCCAGAATGTGGTACCGGGCACCTCGCTGCAGCAGATCAGCACCACCGACCTGCAGCAGCTGCAGCAACTACAGCAGCAGAACCCCATGCAGCAGTACGTGTTCCTCCAAACGGGCCAGGTCAGTACAAAGTCTTGTTGTAAACACTTCAGAGATCCGTTTGAAGTTGCTTGGCTTCCGTTTATAGCAGACCTTGCTGTCTTTAAGCACTGCACGGGAACTGTAGAGGGCGCTAATGCAGCATACTCACAAAAATCGGAGTGAGGGCACATCACATGCACACGCTGGTATTATGCATACCCTCAATCAAGCCCTACATGCAACTGGCATGCATGGCAGGCTGCCATTTTTCGTCTAGATGCGCACAATATCAGTTCCACTGACCCACAAACCAAAACTTCACTGCCTTGGCAACTTCAGGAGAATACCAGCCACAGGCACTATGCGTTTTATGGCATTTTGGCTGTGACTGGATTCTGTTGTGACCGGAAAGTTTCCCGTGCATAGCCAATTTCACATGCTCGGCAGCTCTGTGGAAGTGTGTCCCAAGCATGACCCCCCCACAGTGGAGGTGACGTTGGTGTGCCCTCCTCTCATTCGGACCTGTATCTGTTTTCGCAGCTGAGGGATAGGGCATTTACACACAGAGCGTGGGGGAATGGATGGCTTACGTGGGTAGTGGTGCTCGAGTAGCAGCCAGGAGGTCCCATGTTCATGTCCCACAGGTGTCAGCTGATTTCATTTGAATGAATGGAATAAATTCACCTGATAATGCTGGAGTTAGTATTTGTTACGTACATGTAAATCCTTGAGCAAAGTGAGTATAAGATTCACAATGAAAATAAAAGTTTGGAATTCAGTCAAAGGCAGTCAACTCAAACTCTAGATATGATGGACAAATATTTAAATTAATAATGAAATGTCTTTCTGTTGTCATTTTTTAAAGAAGCACCAGTACTGGGTAGAACCAAGTCTTATTTTGTCAGGTACAAGTTTGTACATGTACAGTACATGCAGTATTTTTTAATAAATGCCAGTGCTTAAAGCAGTTAAATGAGGTATAGAACTTTCCCTCGGATCAGCTGATTTCCTTGTTTTTCACTTCACACTCATGCCATTGAAAACCAAAAAAAACGGTACTGTACAAAGTCTTTGTAAAGATTGGAATTTCCTCCTTTTTTGGTGACAATCCAAGTTGCATGCCTGTAACATTCATCCAAGAGGTTTCAAGTCTGCTTTGATGGTTTCAGCTTCTCAACCAGCAGGGATATGCAGTTGACCTGTGTCATGCCACAACCGTTTCGTGTATCAACGATGTAAAAATGCCGGTAGGCACCTGTTTGCCTTGCTGTATGCACGTCGGACACAATATGGCTGCCGCATCACACAGGTCTCTGACTGGGCACTTTCTTGCCTGTACATCTTTGGATGCTGGTAACAATGAGCCGATGGCCTTTGCCGTGGCGGTAGACAGACGAGTGCCCAGTTTTGGATGTAGCTTTAGGATTTTTCTTCTTGATTAAACCTTGCTGTTGCAGCAGACCAACATGCCGCAATATGTGCTTCTGCAACCCAAGAAGGTGAGCAGTCACCTGTTGGCAACCCACAAGTCGCCTTGTTTGTTGCATATGTTTGCACTCGGCCTAACCCAGTTGAGCCCAGTTCATCCTTTGCAGACCTACTGTCGCCTCATTTGTTTGCATAGTTTCTTAGGTCCGGTTCATACTTCGCATGAATGTCAATATCAAATGTAAAAATCCGTGATTGAAAACTTTACCGAGTTTAACCTGTTTTTCTTTTTTTTTAATTTTGATTTGCATTCTTGGGAAGTATGACCCTTTACAAACCTAACCCAGCTGAGCCCGGTTCATCCTCCTACAATTGCCCATTGGCAACCCCCATGTTACGCCTCATTTCATACTATTACACAAGGCTTTAACCCGCTGGAGCCCGGTTTGCCTGTTGCTGATTCAACATGTTCAACATAAAATGCATGCATTGCTTGTCCAAACTCACCTCAGTGATTTTGACGGTGAAAAAGCCCCCGCAAAGACTTTTAAAATTTGCACAGGTTTTGTGATGCAGATTTCTTGTGGAAAATTCAGCAGGGCATACTTCCGTGAAAGAATTTTTGCAGTCTTAAAAGCTAGAATATTTCAGTTAGAGTTGTTGGATTGTTTGTCCAAACTTATGATTTGTTGGTACGTTGTAGGGAATTCCAAGTTGTTCTCATTACACTCTCGTGAACTGATGACCTGCTGGTGACACTCAATTTGTCAGCTATGCTGAGTGGTATTTGGGTCATTCTCTAAATTTGGGGTCCAGAGTGAGAAATTTTTCCGTCCCCGTTACGTACTTCTGACATGTATACCATCTGACATATTTAACAAGGGAGTATCACTGAAATTGATTTCAAACTATTTTTATCTGTTTGGCAGGTACGTGAAATTTGCAGGACTTATTCAATCTTGGAATTAAACAATCAGCTCTAAACATCAAAAAGTCATATGCCAGATGTAACCGGGATGGGAAAAAATTGGACCCCAAATTTATAGAATGACCCTTCCTCTGTGATACACGTATGTGGACGGCGAACTGTCGTTTTGATAGGTTTCTTGGGTAGGGGAAGGGGCGTCGGCTTAGGATGAACACGTTGGGCGAGACCAGCATGGGTTTGGTTCATGTTACATGTAAAACACGTTGGGCTAGACCAGCATGGGTTTGGTTCCTGTTGCAGCACACCTCGGCATTGTTCTTCATTGCATTTTGGTCTGCTTGCTTGTGTTCAATCAACAAAAGCTGCATTGTATTTTTTTCCTTTCTTTTTTTTCTTCCTTTATTATGTGCTTCCAAGCAAGAGTTTGATTAACAAGAGTGTGTTCGGTTCGGTTCAGCAGGTTTTTACTGAGACTGAGGCCGTGTCCGAAACGGGCTTCCAGAGCTACAGCTAGGTCTATTGTCTACGCGTCTCCACGCATTTCCAATGGAGCAAAGACCTAGACCTAGCTCTAGACAAGAGATTCGGATGCAGCCCGAGTTGCAACTGTGGCACTGACTTGTAGTGTCCAGATCACAGTCGGCCTGCAAATGTTGCACATCAAGGCCAATCTGTGCTTCAGGCCGATGCCAAAGCCAAGCAAATTTGATGTCAGGAAACAGTTGCACTGTAAGATGTGCTTGGGTCGAAGTGTGTTGTACTTGTGCGAATTCTCAGCACGAATATTTGATTTCACATCAAGTTTGCTTCCATGTTCGCTATTGCGCCTCGTGCAAACCGGCCTTGTACATTATATCTGGTGAATACCGGTAGGCATGCAGTTTGGAAGCGATTTGCCGGTCTGTACACATACATGTACGGTACGCTTCTGTATGGTCACATGTGAGCATGTGAAAAGCTGTAGACGCTGTAGACTAAACAGCAATGTGTCCAGCAGTGTTTGGCATGCCATGTACTGTTAACCCAGAAATATCAACTCGCTGTGTCTTGCCAGATGTGGATGAGAAGTGTTTGAGAAGTTTTAGTGCTCACTCTTCCATGGAACTTGTCAGAGTGGTTTTCTTATAGCATGGGGAATCCGTTGGTGCATGGTTTGAATTTGTACAGTAAAAGACAAAATGTAGGTTTTTCTTTACCAGTTGATCAGTACGGTGTACGTGCATGTAGCAGTCGTGCTGTACAGCGTACATGTGTTTGTTTTTAATATGAAGCAAACTGTGGCATTGATCTTTAAGCCCTGTACACCAATCTTCCGCGCAGACTTACCGCCAGAGACAAGCTTGTACAGGTGTAACTGTATTATGCAAGGGTTTCCACGCCACTTTAGTATTAACAGGCTTGTCTTGGGGGGTTTTTTGGTTGACTTTTTAAGGAGTACTGTGCGTGTACCAAGTCCAGGTTGCTGATTCAATGCGCTCACATGTCCCAGACTTCCTCAGGCCTTTGCATGCCCCTGCTTGAGTTTCAAAACAAGAAACCACATGCGCTCTGAGCACTCATCCATTTAGAAATTCCGTAGTGTAGATCTAGGGAAGATTTTTCTGTTTCTGCAAATGGAGAATGAAGTGCGCGGAGACTAATCATAACGTAGACCGAGCGCAGTGTGTGCATTTGCATGCTTTACTGACAAACTCAGCGAGTGCATTGTAACAAACGATCCTGAAAAGTGAAGGTTCTTGAAACAGTTGCATGCCAGTCATTTTAGGACCTGACTTTCAATGCTAAAACTATGAAAGTGGTCTTGAAACTGTACAAGCCAAGCTGTTAGATATTTTTTTCAACAACTGAATGAGGAAAAACGAAAGGATGTACTAACCTCTGAAAACTTTTAAATAAATTAACAAATTGAATTACTTTTCAGTGTGTTTTTGTTGAACACACACATGCTTGCAGACCTGCCAATATGCCGTATACATTGTACCTTCCTGAGGTCAGGCATTACCACACAGTAGATTAAAATTTTAAATGAAGTGAAGGCTTTACTTAAATACCTTTTTAATCTGTTGCTTGGTAATTCCTGACCTCAGGTAGGAATACGGCTAGGTTGGCAGGTCTGTGTTGGGGATGTGATCTACGAAAACTCTTCTCATGGTGAGCTTTGTCATGTTGATGCATATCAACTTGACATTGTCCTGTTTTCAAAACTTTCATTTGTGATTCGAAACAACCTAGAATCATAAATGGAATACATCTGAAGGCAAGGGTGTGTCCGTATTGCTTTGAAGTTGATACGCACCCAAATGACAAAGCTCACCATGTGAAAGGTTTTCGCAGATCATATCACAAATTGCTTTTGACAAATTTCTTTATCCCCAATTCTTTCGAGGCAGTTTTTCTTCTTCCTGTTCACCGATCTAACTTATTAGAGAAGATTAACATTGGACTAAAAGAGTTTTGCCTCATTAAGTCTCAGTTCAGCTCCAAACCTTTTCAGAAAATCAGAAGTGAATTAGTGATCCTGTCACTGGGAGATCTCCCTGTGGAGAAAATACAAGCCAAAACCTTTGATAACACTGGCTGATTCAGGAATCACCAAAAAAGAAAAGAAAAAAAACTCAGTGCAACTAATTTAGAAGTCGATTTGCAGGTTTCTTCTCATGATGATTAATTTCATGAAATAGATTCAGCTGACAGATCAATTCTTTATGTGCTTATGATGTATACTTTTAGATCAGGATGAGGCAAATATGCAGTTTGTAGCGCTACGGTAGATCAGTATGAGGCAAATATGCAGTTTGTAGCGCTACGGTAGACGTACAGTATGTTGGGCACACCATGAAGTGACGTGTCTTGTACATTCTATGTAAATGAGATTTACAAGATATGAAATTTGATGGTACATGGTACATTTGACGTGACATAACTGACTACCTAAACCAATGCCTACCTATGGCAGTACATGTGCATAAGCAGTCTAACTTGGCCAACTGTGGAATCTGTTTTGATTGCTCGTAAAAAACAAACTCAAAGAAGACAGGGTTTAAGACATTTTCAAATAGCCTATCAGCCCTACATGTACATGTACCTGTCAGATTAAGCACAGGGGTCAAAATGAGTATAAATTCATGTACATTTTAGCGTACAGTAGTCAGGACCATCTCAAGACCGGGCACGAGACCAATGGCAAGTAACTGGGTGAACGACAATGGAGGAATGCTCTTGTGACTTGAATTCATACTGGTGGTTCAGCATTGCTCTTGTGACGATCTTAAGGGATCCTGACTACGTGTACGAGTACAGCCCTGGTTTTGAGTAGCGATCGTGCCAAGTTTGACGTCAAACTGCTGTTGATCATTACAACCTGCATGCCGCTTTCTTTTCACCATTCCACCTACATGTACATGTATTAATATAACACCTTGCCTGTTTTTGTACACCCGTCGCTTGTCGCATCGTGACCTGCTGTTTCGCCCCGGGCGTCGTGTGTCTTGTGTGCTGTGCTATACATGTATGTGCGTGCCCTACCCCGGCCTCTAGGTGGCGCCAAACGTGCAGCAGCAGATTTTCCTCCAGCAGCAGGCCAACCAGCAGTCCGGCTTGTTGTCACAGCCGCAAACTAGCTTGCTGCCCCAGGTACCGAATTACGTAGTCCTCCTTGGTAGGCCTCACTCTCTGGGAACCACTTCAAAAGTTGCCTCCTTTTTTTGGAGGGGGCAGGATTAGTATGTGTACATGTAGATCCAAATCAAAGTGGAACTTCACATCCACCGAGTGGAATTAATCTCTTGGACTGGTGAATGTTTCCACTAACGCTTTGCTGACTAGACCTGGAAAATTGCAGAGGTTTTCTCAAGTTCTTTTGCAAGTCCACCGAGTGTACTGAAATGTGCGTTTTAGACAGGAGGTCGGCGTTGTGTAATTTTGTTTTATATTGATTGAAGTTGGGCCAAAATAGTTTGGCCCCTCCCCGGTATTTTGCCAAAGAACTAATCGAGTCAAAGTCCGAGTCCCAATACTAGTACATGTAATTTGTACACTTGCATCACATAATGGGTGTGAATCTCCATTAGCCTCCTCAATCTAAACACTTGGCCGATGAAGCCTTGCCCATTTACCGGAAACCTTGATTTCTAATAATACGTGTATCATCTTATACTGAGTGCGGTTTGCTCAGAGGCTTAGAAAAGGCCTTGACTTTACCTCTGGGAAATTGTAGGCTTAGAAAAGGCCTTGACTTTACCTCTGGGAAATTGTAGTGACTGCACGTAAATGCAGATCAAAACAGCAACAACAATCCTGAAGCATACTGTGTACTTTTGAAGTTGTTCCCTCCACAATGATTTGTGCAATTCTTTTTGCTGTTCCTTTTCATTATATTTCATCTTTAACACCGGCCGTGTGTTTCAGCTGTTCCTTTCATTCTGAGTGTTCAAATCAAACCAGTACATGTATATAACAGTGCATGTTTCTAGGGTGTCAGAGAGTTTGAATGGCATGCAGAGTCTGAGTCCAGCGACTGTGGCTAGGAATAACACACATGTCTATGAGAAGTGGTTGGAGCCACTAGGCGGTGGCTGTCCATAGATGCACATGTTTTTTCAGCCACAGCCATAACTTTTAGACACATTCTCACCACGGAGTCTCTGCATGGACACAAGAGGGCGGAATGATCTGCAGTGGAGTCCATTTTGTGGCAGATAAGATGTACATTGTGGATGCAAATTTGCACGTTGATGCAGTATAGAAAATGCAAAGTTTTTTTCGTTTTTGTGTAAAAAAAAATATCAGTGAAGCGGCCTTTTATGCAGCCAGGCCCCAGAATAGATCTCTCTTATTGGACGCAAGCATGTGCAGTGCAAATCTTCTATACACGTCCTTGTGTTGATCTAAATTGACGATGCATGTGGCAATCTGTAGGAAGTGACGCTATTTGAGCGAGACCTATTGAAACATGAGAAACCTCAACTAATTAAGGTGACACTGGACACATGATTACTGTGTGTATGTAGGGAGTCTCCCCCCCTCCCACATTAATGGTAGAGGCAGTGTCCAAACCAATGTCAAAGGCACTGGTGCCACAATGCTTCTTCCATTACTGGAAGGAGGGGAGCTTCCTCAGTATATGATGAAAGGAGCAGTTGGCACACTTCCCCCCCTTACTCTTATTAATTTTAGGCCATGCAAATAAAAAATCATGTTTCTTGTAACAATTTGATTTAAGAAAAAATGATCAACCTTTCCTGGGAGACGTTGAGGTGCCCAGTGGCAGCAGATGTGCCAGGGGCCAATTCCACAGAGCTGCTTAAGCACAAAATTTGCTAATGCTTGAAAAAAACCTTGCTTAAAAAAAACCCAAAGGTCACCAGCTCAAACTCTATCTGATTGCCATGCTAACCAAAAGACAGCTAAGTACCATTCCAAAACAGTATACGTCACATGGAGTTTTCTCTGGTTACCTGATTTATCAAGCAAGCTTTTCTCCCACTTCAGCAAATTTTGTGCTGAAGCAGCTCTGTGGAATTGGCCCCAGCTGCACTTTTTGGCCCCATGTGATCGGTCCACTCTTGTTTGTATCACATTTGTGGCCAAAAATAACATGTTTGAACGATAGTAGTCCAATTTCACGTGTTTGCCGCCAACAGGCATCTCAAAAGTCTCCCATTTTAAGAATCACTCTTTCACACACCCTAGTTCATGATTCCAAAGCAGCTGTAATGACAGGTTCTCCAAGCTCTTTAACCTGATGTGATTCCTTTCTAACTATTTGCACTGTAACCATGGTAACCCTGCATGGAATGTTGGATTTTTGGCATGAGACACCCGCTAATACATTGATGCTGTGCTGTACGTTGTGGACTTGTATTCTGTTATTAGTGTTTCGTACAATTTGAACATTGTTAACGGTATGTAGGGAGTTGTCCATTATTTAATTATCGTCAAGAGCATTTAAACAAACATGTACGTCTCTAACCACCCCCCCTCCCGAGAAAAAAAGAGATTTGATAGCCATCATATTTTGCAATCTGTGCAAACCGTACCAAGTTAACCACCCCCCCCCCCCGGTTGTGCTTTGTATGCTTCTGAAAATGATACCCACCAAATTGGATGATCCTCAAAAACTCCTTCAATTGAGGCCCATGCTTGCAAAGTGCCCAAGTATGGGACATTAAGAGAGCTTTGGATGAGTGTTGTTTTAGTGTTCACTCCAGTCACTAGAATAGGGAACAAGGCATTTTCAGGCCGTGCCTTCTTTCCTCAAAAAACACTGCTCACGATCTTACGGTACAAGCAAACTTGCCTGTTGACACCAACGGTCCAGTCAAGTCTTCTTGTAATCCAATCTTATTGGAATTGAACTCATGTTGTTGGTGTTTTCTGACTGAATGCTTTTAGTTGACGGATTTCTCTAGGTGGTTTAACTTTTCATTGTTTTATGGTTGGGGGAAAAAGACTTTAAATAAGCTTGCAATGATTGGGATGTTGGTAGTCAAGGCAACCATCCTCCACTCACAAAGCACACACCTGTCTCTCTGGTCTTCACTTCCATTGATCTCATGTGCCATTTGAAAATACAACCCATGCTCCAGACATGGCCTAATATGTACACCTACCCAGGTACACACACACACACCCACACTCGGCAGCAGCATTTCATCACTAAGCTATCATGCGGCCTACATGTAGGACCTCTACAAATATATGCCCGATTACCAGAGATGGGCTTTACATGTAATAACATTAAAGAAACAGTCATTATTCCGAAAAGAAACTTTTGCTCTTTAGCCGCGTTGGCTATGTTAAATCATAATGATTCCGCAACCTTTCTTTAAATCGTTAATTACTGAGTCACGGTATCCACAGAAGCTTTGTAATCATCCTTTTTTTAGACAGTATTTGTGTTTTTCGGTGTTCTTTAATACCCTGTATTATGGGCGATTCACAGTAGTGCGCCTCCAAGAGTTTGCAATACGCTGACCAATCACAATGTGCGTAATCTGTCGTCCCAATGCACGTTTGGAAAGGGTCGACAGATTTCGCGCATTGTGATTGGTCATCGCGTTACAAACTCTTGGAGGCGCACTCTTGTGAATCATCAATATTCCTACCAGTAAAAGAAAAAAAACTAGTGCCAAACTTCTTTAAAATGTCACGGTAACCTTTATGAAGGCCTGTACACAGATCCTCCCACCACAAGAAAAACTGCATTCATGTAATTTTGTCCTTTATGAGGACAACCTACTTTGTCTACATGTTTGTTTGTCTGTGCAATACCACATATAACTTCACGAAGAATGGCTGCGTTATGGTGGTCCAATCTTCAACATCTTGCAGATCCAGGGACAGCAGAACTTGATACAGGGTCAGACCTTCATCGGTGCCCAGGCAGTGCAGCAGCCAGCCGTTACCCTGGCCACCGTATCAGCTACACAGGTAAAAAGGGAGTAGCGTCCCAAAGGAAATAGGATTTGTTGCTGATTTTGGTGTGATTGTAGAGCTGAGACTACTAAAAAATTTTGCCATTATTGTTGCAAAATGTAATCCTGAGCCTGGTCAGTGCACAGTGAGCTTTTTGTTTCTGTGCATGGTCATTGGCAAAATCAACATTTTTGCCACCCTGTCTTATGAAATATAGCACTGGGAGAAAAATTTGACGAGATGTGTATGAGCCTTGTAGCAACCATTTTGGTTGCAGTGACCTTGGAGAAAATATAAAGTCACCCCCCATCTATTGATTTTGTAGAACAAGGGAAAGCGTGTGAATATCGTAGAACAAACTGTCCATTCAAATTTCTGTGACCTGTTGGTGACGATTTCCTTTTTTTCCTTCTGTTCATCTGCATTCAGTCCGGTGCTACGATCGTGGCAACGGCGCCAGCCATCACTGCCCAGCAGCAGCTGCAGATTGTCCAGGCTCAGAAGACCTCAGCCATTCAGCAAGCTGAGGAATCCACAGACCTGGAGGAACTGGAGCAGTTTGCCCGGACCTTCAAGCAGAGACGGATAAAACTTGGCTTTACACAGGTGAGAACATTTATGTAAAAATGACATGCACAGGTGAATATATCACCCAGGTGAATATATCACATAGGTGAATATATCGCATAGGTGAGTATATCACACAGGTGAATATATCACACAGGTGAATATATCACACAGGTGAATATATCACACAGGTGAATATATCACATAGGTGAATATATCACCCAGGTGAATATATCACATAGGTGAATATTTTATTTACAGTAGGTGAATACAGTCTATCAACATGTGTGAAATATGCATTATATGGGCAAACACACAAAAAGACATCGTAATGTATGGTTGTATTGTTCCTCGGAACCAACCGGGGGTTGGAAGGGATTTTGAAGTGGCAAACATTTTTGAAAGGGTTCATCAGTTGGGGCAGTATTGTGGTTTGAAAGTATTGCTCTGACTTTTTCCAGAATACTTGTGTGCTTTTTGGAAGGACGGAAACTCTCATCTTTGTGGTTTTTTCCTGCCCTAGGGTGATGTTGGACTGGCCATGGGGAAGCTTTATGGCAACGATTTCAGTCAGACGACCATATCAAGATTTGAGGCGTTGAACCTGAGCTTCAAGAACATGTGTAAGTTGAAGCCGCTGCTGCAAAAGTGGCTGGACGACGCAGATTCCACGATCTCCAACCCATCCCTGCTTGGTGGGGGCACAGGGATGGACTCGCAGGACGCACTGGGCCGGCGTCGCAAGAAACGCACCAGCATTGAGACCAACATCCGGGTCTCGCTAGAGCGGGCGTTCATCCACAACCCCAAGCCCACCTCAGAGGAGATCATGATCCTGGCCGACACCCTGGGTATGGAGAAGGAGGTGGTGCGGGTGTGGTTCTGTAACCGCCGACAGAAGGAGAAGCGCATCAACCCGCCCACCGTCAACTTGGCCAATCTGAGCTACAATGGTGCCTCGCCGCTGGTCAGCCCCAGCGCGGCCACCAGCGCCGCCGCAACTGCCTCACAGCTCAACAGCAACCATGGCACGGGCGGCCTGCCCATCGGCTCACCCATCACCACCACCAACGCTGCCCTGGTGACGGGGATCAGCTCTGGAGGCGTCAACATGAACGCGGCAGGCCTCATTACCAGTGTGGCCCAGGCGGTGGCCAACAACAACAACGCGGCGCTGGGGAGCTTTAAGGGGGCGGCCAGCACCGTCACGGTCAACAGCCCACTGACCAATGCCGTCAACTCGGTCTCCGTCCCGGCCACCTCGCTCGTGGCAAAGACCCTCCAGCTGTCCCAGGGTGGTGCTGCTGCTGCGCCCGTATCGGTCGCGACCAACGGAGCGCAGCAGGTAAGTGCCCCAATAAACACCACAGCCAACACCCTGCCCATGGACGTTGTGACAATGTCGGTGACCAGTCATGACAACTCCTCCCCTGTCACTGTTCCTGTGGAGACGTCAGTGGTAGGAACCAAGTAGGGACCAACTACATGTACCAAAGGAAATTTCCAGGCAGAGGGGTTTTCCTTCCCAAGAGATGTGAGTCGAGTGTCAAAGTGTGTCATAATTGTGAGAGTGAAACACAAGGTTATCTCTTTTTAGTCCCATACCATTCTGTACATCTGCTTTTTTAAAATTAACCTTAATAATTGACAGGCCAAGCAATGCTGATGTTGGCCTGATGTACTGTACAAAGTCTCCTAACATTGAGCACGCACCTGATCACCGTCAGGGATTTCGTAGTTGGTGCTTGCATCCCTGAGCAAGGCACTTGACTGTAATTATTCTGCACAAAGTGTCAAACTGAGTAAACGTGGACTCACACAGGAAAAGTACCGGTAGATGGCGCAGTAAACATTGAGAACAAGGTGAGGAGGTGGTGTGTGGGTCATGGAGTACGCACCATTGTTTTTCAGCAGAATGGGTACATACATGTACCTGTACATGTACCTGGAGCATCTTTTTCAGAAGAATGCATCCCCTCCCCCCCGAGTGGGGACAGTGCTTTTGCTTCTGGATCCACCATGAGTCCGAATTGTTTCAAGTCTTGGTTGGAAGAAAGTCTAAGGGCTGTACAGCTATATTACCATCAGAAAGTGTGAATTTGATCCCAAGTGGAGTCCAGAGGGTCTTGGGCTATGTGTGGTCCCAGGAGAGAACGTGAAAGCACCTTGGGTCCACTTTCTTAAGGCACCTAGTGGGCATTAGTTTTTAGCGCCGTATTTTTTATTACTCAATTTATGATTACATATATGTAGTTCTGTTCTTTTATTTTTAGTGTCAATACGTGCATCGGTTTTACTCCATATACACTTGCCTCTGAGCAAACTTTAACAGGCTTGATTTTCAAATTACAAGGCACTTCAACGGTGAAGCTTTCGTTTCATGATCAGAGATGCTAGTCAGAATCTCGCCCAGAGCCTGAGAAAGGGCAGGGAAGCTCAGATTACCCTATCTGTTTCAATGAAGAAGCGTGAAATTAGGGCTTTGGCCTGAAAACCGGCACTCCTGCATGAACAGGGCAAGCATGTGTGGCCCCACAAATACATTCTTACTTGTTGCAAATGAGGCAAACGAGGTACATCGTAGGCCTGCTGTTTTTCAGCTGAACGTGTACAAACGGCCGTAGGATGCTCTTGTTGCAGGACTGCGCCAAAGTATGAGGGCAAGAGACAACACGACAGGCTCTCCCCGTTAACATTGTAACAGATGCAATAGGCCCATGCCAGTAGTGTCTCTGTAAGAAAGCAGCTTGCTTCTGAACAAAACAACAGGAACTGTGAACCTCACCAGAACAAATCTGAAGCTCCTGAAACTCGAGTCAGTGACTGGACTCAAGTCTGACTCGAGTCACAATTTTAGGCGACTCGACTTGACTCAAGTCCCAGTGGGTAAATGACTCGACTCGAGTCTCTGTGTCCAAGTTAAAAGCAAAATTTTGGGGTTAAAAAATATTTGATATCAGACTCACGGCTCTGCTCTTATATCAATTGTATTTATTGTATTTTGTTCAAAAACTTTTGACTCGAACTGACTCGAGCTCGGTACTTGACCTGACTCGACTATACAAAGTGACTCGACTCAACTTCCTGATCTAATGATGCGACTCAAGTCACAATATTTAATGACTTGTTACAACACTGGAGAGCGTTGAGTTGATAATTTGATTGAAAGAGCCTGAATCCGACTGAAGTTTGTTACAAATTGCTGTGGGGCTTTTGGTTCACAAGAGAGAGGTAATTTGAAACTTCTGTGTTTTTGTCTGATCCGGAGGCCTCATTGCAGAAAACAATTTGTTTTTCATAATTGTAATCACAAAGTGAACCAAAGTTTCCTTCTAAAAAGTCTGTTTTATTAACGTCATAATATACTGTGCAAAGTCTAACGTTATTATTGAATTGTACAAAAAATTGCATTTGACGAATTGCTAAAGCAAACGACACGGCAATGCCAGTCATATGCAAAACAACATTGTCAGACATTTGTCAAACCGTGGCTTTGCGTTCAGCTTTAGGTTGGAGCTCTTCACATTTTTAAAAATTTGAGTTTCAGGTAGCCGGCGCTTAACTCTCGTTTTAGGGACCTCTTCTGCTGGAGGAATATCACATTCTGTCATGTGACACGAGGCCAAATTTTTTAATATTCAAATTTGGGTTTTAATATCACGTGGCTACAGAATAGTTTGGACGGTTGGCAGGGCACAGCTTAGTGGTAAAAACAGCCAAGGTTTGAGAAATGGTGTATTTCAGCCTGGAACAGTTTATGTGTACGTAGTAGTCTTGATTCAAGGTGGGAATGGAGTGTCCATGTAGAAGGCAAACCTCAGGCACAGTCACTGATGGCAAGATCCATCTCAGCTCTTGTTGGAGTGGACTGTTTATTGTGTGTGGCTTATGAGGAACAAAGCCTTGATTCAAGACTATAAAAGTACCAGTAGGATTGATTTCATGTGTGTCCAGCTTTGCACGTGTGGAATGATTACTGACTGATTTTGCTTGATTCTAAGAATTTCCATGGACGCAAATTTCAGGTGTTCAGGCAAAATTGGTGAAATATTTTGGCTAGACCACGTTGCTTTGAGACAGAGTATAAACACTGTGACATCACATGACTGTTCAGCCGGACACTTGCTTGGCTTTTTTTGTTTTGTTTTGTTATTTATGTACATGAATTGCCTGTCTTATCATCAGTGTATAAAATCTGTGCTAAGTTTGCTAAAATTTCGCCTAGAAAATTTGGCTTTATGAGTCCCCAAAATAAACCGATTGCACCCGGAAAGTCACGTGACCTATAGTGGGTATGAAAGATCAACGAACATGGCGCCCTTCTATAGCAAAGTGTGCCATAGGTGCTGTGTACCAGAACTAATGCCGATGTTCAGTTTGGCACTCGGCCCATCAGTAGTTTGAGTACTTTAACCAACCATTGGCTTTATTTCTGGTATACGACACTCGTGATGCACTTTGCTTTGGAGGACGCCATGTTTGTTAATGTTCGATACCCACTATAGGTCAGGTGACTTAGCGGGCACAATCAGTTCTATTGGCCAATTGTCATTGAGCCACTTGGTACATTTCTGACCGGATCTCTTAAAGTGAATCTTGATGCATTTTTTCACTCAGTAAATCAGTTTTAAGTTAACGTTAGGCTTAGCAGACTGAGCTGTGATGTATCACTCAATTTGGCATCCTGATGTAAATTGGACATACATGCACAGTATGTGGGTGAAAATCTCTCGGTTTCGTAGTGATTTACATTGTGCAGGGTTCTCATACAGGCCTGTCAACTCAAAACGTGAATCTATCTGGTGACTTGCCACTAATTTTTTTAAGTTGGGTGACGAAATATAGATCTCTCTCACGGGACGCCATCTTGGTACGAAAATCACAGCTGTGCATTCAACACCCACAGGTGTGTTTGCACAGTTCCTGCAAGTGTTCTACACACACCTGTGTGTTGACGATGCGCGACACGAAAATTTGAAGTTAAACAATGCCGATGCATGTGGCAATCTGTGGGGAAGTGATGTCATTTGAGAGAGTCGTATACCGTCAATCCAGATAATGAGAACACGGTGTAGTGCAACATCCTGCTCGTTAAAGCAAAGATAATTCCTGGGCTCAAGCTTTTGTAGTCTTTATTTTCATTTTCAAGGAAAACAAGGTCACGTGTAAGTCCCAGGAAGGGATGTGAAAAGTTCACATATTTATCAGGTCATTTTCACTGGGAAATCATTTCGCCCTTGTCAATATTTTATTTTCCCTGTTCAGGGGTCCTCATGTATTTGGTCCCTGCAGGGAGCCAGTGACTAGCTATGTACATTGTGTGGCATTATGTCAGCCGCTAGAAATCTTACTTCCGCCAAGGCGAAATTCTCCCGTGCTTTGGTCATTTCTCTCAACGAGTTCGATGATTGGTTATTTTCCATGGCCTCTGCTAATTTTGGTAAGCATTTTGAAGATTGTTGTATGAAGCCACTGTTCCCTGAGAGTCGCTCCAAGCAAGCCGGAACATTCTGCTTTCTTCCATTAAAGGCAGCCATTGGAAATGCCCAATGAAACATTCATTGGATTCATTTTACATCACAGCAATGCACTCACTGCAAATTATGATAGTTTGTACCCAGAATAGTTTTTTTTTTTTAATAAACTTCAGCTGTTGACCAATTCAGTCATTTTGTTGAATTCCTTTTTTCCTAATTACTGATGTGTATACTGTGGACTGGATTGCTTGTTTGTTTAGTTTTGTTTGGATAAAATTTCTTGCACAATGCCATACCAGTCTTTCAGTGTTTCATTTTGTGATTGTTATTCTGCACTTGTCACCAGTCTAATCAGAGTACATTTGACTCCATAGCTTACCATGAACAAGTACCTGATAGTATGGTCATTTTTCCAATACTCAACTTCGGCTCCGTCTCGGGCTTCAACTGTTTTTTACTGCCTGACTTTTAGTCTGGCAGTAGTCTGATAGTGCCACAAAACATCAAATAAGATGCAAGAGAACCAAAACCTGCAGTAGTCCAATTGAATAAGCCATTTGCGGGTTAAATTTGAATAAAATCTGGTACACTGAGTTATTTAAATTCACGTGAACATAAAAGCTTGAATTCTCCGTGCTAAAAACCACTGTTGCTGTACCTCATGATTTGGGGCAAGGTTTTGCTAAGTTACGTAAGAGACGCCTTGCAACAATACACTGTTTTCAATGGATAAGAATGGCACAAAGGGAACCAGTCTATTCCAGAGATGGTGGTCACTATGCAAAAGCTTGCCCCAAATCACGAGGTATAGTAACAGTGTCTTTAGTCTGGGGAATTCAAATTGTTACGTTTCTGTGCAATCAGAAACACAGCGTACCAGATATTATTCAGATTTAACTCGTAAGTGGCTTATTTAAACACTTCAGGCCCACAATCGGGGACTGGTTTTGGGGACGAAGCCTGAGACGGAGACGAAGTTAAGTATTGGAAAATAGCCTACGGCACTTTCCAAATTCCTGGAAATTTTGTTCACTACTCCATCCTGTGTTGTTCCACAGAAAAACTCCTCAGATGTATTACTGAATAAAGTACATGTGCAGACAAAAAGACCTGTCTTAATATTCATTACGTTCCATGTGCCATATTCAACACTTTTATTAACACTGACGACGTCGATATAACAGTCAACATACACAGCACCATATAAATGGTTAACATAAATAAACAGAAATGCATAAATTTGCATAAATTATATATATGAGGCACGCTTGCAGCCACGAACCACCCTGTTGAATATTAATGAACCTGTGCATAAGAATGCGTATTAGATGGTCAACACGTAGTACATGTCTTTAACTATGAATTATGTACAACTCTGGAGGCTATGTACACTTCTCTGGCAAGTTATAGCGGGCTTATTAAACAATTATTTTTGTTCTTCAGAACATTAGTTTATGAACATTTTTAGTTCTCATAATGGTGGAGCAACCACACTCCGAAGACATACCTTTATAAACAACCTCCCACATTTCCTCCCACAACTCCTCCCACAACTGTGTACATCACAGTAACATCTCACTATAATTTTGGGCAGATCTGTAGAATCTCAACAGGGTGATGAAAAGGTCCCATTTTTATTAAATTGTTTGGTTATAAAATTGTGAAAAAGATCGGGAAGCATTGGTGACTTGCCAGTAAATTATATCAAAGGAGAATTTCTCTTTTTTTTAAAAAAAAGCAGCTGAAAACTCAGGTTGAAGTTCACACCAAAAGGAAGATATTTCACACATCTAAAACACCTGTTCACATACATAATCTTTGAAATATGGACAATTCTGTCTGAAAAAACTTTAAACATTCTAAAATTCTGAAATGTTTGGAGTACAAAACATTGCTTAGCCGATTCATACATGGAGCAAAATCAGTTTCCAGCTAGCCATGAGCAGCGTACAGCCATGTCCAAATTAATTGTCCAAGGCTTGAAATTACAGATCTCTATGGAAGATGGCTACAGCTTACAATCATAGACCTGTGCATAATTTTAAGTCATAGCCAATTCATTTGGTTTGGGCCTACCTTCCGGGATATCTTGGCTTGTAAGCTAAAGTAAGTATTTCCTTCGCTGGGCAAAAACGCTGGGTTTTACAGCTTCATGAAAACCATTTTGTGAACTACACGGATGCTAGTTCCTTTTCACTTGAAATCTTCTGCTCATGTTGGGCCTTAGCAAGGCATATTAAGGCTTCTCTGACCTTATTTTCAAGGTTTGGACAAGGTTTGGTATGACTAGAATTTATTTGAGTAGTGTCTAGAACCCCGGGTCTACCAGTTACAATTGCAGTATTATTTGGATTCCCCAGACTATTCCTGCTACTGTGTCATGTGATTTGGTTGCAAGCTCTTTCAGAGTTGACATGTCTGTCAAGAAGACCATCAACGCTCGCCATGATTGATGGCTGAGAATGGTCATGGACACCAGACCATCCCACAGCAGCAGGTTGCTGGCACAAAGCTTACTCAGTAACATTAAGACAGTAGCAGCGTTAGTCTGGTGAATTCTTCCGTCATTCTTCAGGTGTAATCGGCAAAATCAGGGATTTTACACACCAATCGAGTTCAATTCACAAATGTCTTCTGCGGGATGATATGTGTATTTATCACACACATTTGAGCCGCATTTTGTCAACAGCTTTATGCTAATAGGCTATGACCAATAGGAGGACAGTTATTAAGATACAAATCTCAATATAAATTAACAAAAATTTGGAAACAACATGTACACATCATTGTCTTGTATAAATAAGCGAGCTTGTATTGAGCACTGGATTCAAAAGTCAACATTAAATGTTTCAGCGCTCAATTTCCCCAGCACATCTGTTCACTAGGTACATTGTAACAAATACTGCAGGTGCAAGTCAAAACTGGCCACTCTCAGTTATCACATGGGCGCTCCTGGAACAAAGATTTATGTAGTGCGTCTGTGTTCTGTATACCACCAGGCGGCCTCATGGTATACGGGACAGACGCACTACGTTATTCTATGTTCCAGGAGCGCAAGCGTGGTAACGAATTTATCTTCAAGCAAACTAGACGTGCACTAAAGATGTTATGAAGGCCTATGTGCGCAAATGCGCCACCTTTGAATTTAAAGTAAATTTTGCAGTTGTGCGTTTTGCTTTTAGCGTAAAAACTGCGCCATGCGTTGAGTTAGACCAGCGCATTACGCAGGGTTTGACATGAACTGTGCAATACAGTTATTTATCGTACTGTTTGTTGCCATGGATCGACCAATCAGAATTGAGAATTTAAATTTGCCTGAAGATAAATTAATAAACAATACATCTTATTTTGTTGCCTTTTTCTTCGGCGTCCCCGTTCTAGGAACAACTTTCTAACTGGACAAAACCTAGAGCTAAAAATTCAGTCGACCACAATGTCTGACTGACACAAATATCTGTGTGGTCTGGCAAGCATTAAAACCCATTCATCAGGTTTCAGATTGTAAATGTAATGCCATCTTTGTACAAAATTAGTATCTTTACAGAAATGTACACTTCAAACGAAACACTGACATCTGGTTCCACTTCCACTGTCCAGAAAGAACACATAAATGATCAAAAACTGAGTCCTTTACTATTAACTCATTTGTCCAAAACTGAAAATTTCTCACAGCTATGGAAAAAAAAAAGGAATTTTTCTGAAAGTGAGTTTTTTACTCTTACAGCATCTGCTTTCCCCAGTGTTGTTGAGTTGGTCACTAAATTTGTCCATTCACAATTCTGGTCACAAGTGACAGGGCAAGAGAAAAATCTTTGTTAATGTTTAATTTGAAGAGCTACTTTAATACATGGGTCTAGATGACTAATTGGCTTGTGAGGACTTGTGAATGGCTTGTGAAGATTTGCGAGTGGATTGTGAGGACTTGTGAATGGCTTGTGAAGATTTGCGAGTGGATTGTGAGGACTTGTGAATGGCTTGTGAAGATTTGCGAGTGGATTGTGAGGACTTGTGAATGGCTTGTGAAGATTTGCGAGTGGATTGTGAGGACTTGTGAATGGCTTGAGGACTTTCAACTAGCTTGTGTGGACTTGTGAATGGCTTGTGATTGACTTGTGAATGGCTTCTAAATGGCTTGTGAGATTTGTCATTGGCTTGGGAGAGCATGCATTTCCTTGAGAAGACTCAGAACAGATTCAACTCTGATTTTCTGTAACAGTTGGCTCCTATGCAGGAACACACTACATGAAAGTTCATGACTAGGAATGTTGATGCTTATAACTATGTCTTAGCCCCAACCCACGCCTCCTCATACATTTTAGATCAATATTTTCTCAATTCCCTTCAACACAGAAAAGATGTCTGTCTTGGACATTCCCACACAAAGTTCCTGAATGTGAAGATAAGAAGAAACTTGCATTTCCAGAGAGAAATGAAAATTGACTTTGAGAAGAAATTCTCTTCCGTCCATGAGATGCTGTACATTTTGGCACATTTCACCACAATGAATAAATAGCATTCAATTAATAACTCTCTGCTAGCCACATTAAGTTTGCGTAATACATATGCACGTACATTGTCATATTAGTAAACATGGACAAAACAATCTTGCATATTCATTAACCGCATCCAGACTGCTCAGTTTCAATGTACAAATAGAGCTATTCCTGATGCTGTTTGCTCTCCCGATTTATACAAACTTTGTTCTACCAATAATTGCAAAGGTGAGGATTAGTAAAACTTTGTTCAGGTTTACATTTTCAAATGACAGCCCATCAATGTAGTGCCTTTGGCAAATCCACATTTTAAGAACTCCGGCACAATACGCATTGATCCGTGACGGATGCTAGAAGTTTACTACCACCGTGGATGAGTTACAATATGAAACATAATTTTCTGTTGGAACTGACCCCCAAATTGTGACTTTAGGGACTGGAAAGTACTTGGATTGGTCGCTTCAGTGATCACTCCACTGATTAAGTATCAAATGCGAATATTCTCTAAACTGCCTACTTGTGACATGTTGTATCAATTCAAAATTCTCGCCCGCTATTCACATGTACAAAGGCTGCAGAAAATTCAGGTTATTTTCCAAGGCAATGTAAACCCTTCCTTTAACTCTTAATGTCCATGTTTGTTGTGACTGTTTTGTTTTTACTTGCACTGCCATCCATGATTTGTACATATAACAAGCTGCAAGTTACAGTGTACATATCACAATACCATACTTTGTTCATATGAAGTGAGAATTCGTTATGTTTTAAAAAATCACTCTCGGAAGCATTTTAAAAGTTACATTGTCAGTGGTCATTTTATCTGCTTTTCTATGTAGCATCAAATACCATGCATGCTTTGGAAGGCCAATCATACCATTTGCATTTCTACTCAAAACAAATCGAGAAAAACTTTGACAGAAAATAAACTTGAATGTACTTGGAGAACAGATACATGCAAGTCAACAGTGCAATATGCTGCATTATGTCAGGAAAGATGTTAGTAAAAAAATTAAAAAGGGGGAGGACAGTTCATGAGCCTTGAAGAATAAGCCTTTTGCGAGTTAAATTTGAATAAAATCCAGTGTTCCGAGTTCTTTAAATTCATTTGAACATAACAATTTGAATTCTCCACACTAAAAAAACTGTTGGTATACCTTGCACAAGGGAACCAGTCCATTCCAGAGATGGTGGTCGCTAAGCAAAAGCTTGCCCTGAATCACAAGGTATAGCAACAGTGCCTTTAGTCCGGGCAATTAAAATTGTTTTATTTAAGTGCAGTCAGATATTGCACCAGATTTTACTCAAATGCAATTCGCAAAAGGCTCATTCAAGGGTGGTAAGCAATGACTTTAACCCTAAATAGAAAACATCAACTTTCACAAAATGGCAGTGGGACAAACGTGCACAAACAGATGTCATTCTGAGGGGATCAGTGATAGCTAATACTCAACCAGGGATGGGCAAGTTGGCACATGGAAAAGTCCGAAGAATTAAACCCTGACTTTTTAGGAAGCTCTGTACAAAAACTGGGCCACTACCGATTTCAACTTTGAAAAAGAGAATGCATATACAGATAACGGCTCTCCTGCATAAGAATGAGATGATGTGTGGCCTTTTGGCCAAGCGGCAAACGCATAGCCAACTTTCATTTAAATGTGCACAAATCCCTGCTGAACTTGCAGGGTACCTGGCAACCCAGGGGCATCATACCATACCGATAATCATACTATTCAGTCAGTTTTTACTGAAGCCAAATGCTATAATTGGCCTGGAACATGCACGACACACAAGCTCATTACACGTAGGTACAACAGCAGTGTTTCAACGTGCAGGAACACTGCAACAGCATGCTTTTCACTGCAGCATACAGTATCTTATTCACACCGTGACACTTTCAACGAGACAACGGTTAACACTTTGGCTACACTTCAACACTTCTCACAAACGATAAGACAGTTTTCTATAGCCACATACATGTATGCCATGAATGCTTTTTTGTCTGGGACCAAACTAAGACATATGTTACACTTCTGAATCTGGTGATGCCAGAAAATATTTGGACCAATGAGGGAAACCTACGAGTTCAGGAAGAATACAGGAAGAGATAATTTCCTACAATTCCGATCAAAGAAATAATGCTGATTTTTGTATTTGCCTAAAAACTAACTTCCCAAAAGTGCCTCCCCCCAAAAAAGGAACAGCCATGAGAAATGTATTACAGGTACATGCATGATGAGGCAAGACGTGGGGCCAATGTACAAAATCATCATCCTTCCAGAACTAATGCCTTCGTTTTTCAATTTCAAAATCTTAAAATAAAAAAAAACAGCCAATATCCAAAATATCACACATTCATTAATGCCTAACAAAGTGTTTTAAACTTCCAGATATACAAAGTCTGTATGACATTCACATCTTTCTATAAATAACACCCTGGATAACAAAATACCAGTACAGACATTGGCACTGTGTTCATTTTGGGTTGTGACTGGGCTTGTTTTGTTCTAAGCTCGGCAGGCTGGCAGACAATGTTTTCATCTTCAACCTGTTGAAAATGTTAGCTCCAAGTGTGCACACACATATTATCATGTACAAGTAAATGTACTCATGAGCATATGCCTGTAAGTTACTGGTACATTGTAAGATGATCCAGTTTGGTATTGCAAAAAGCCAAGGTCTTTCGGGAACAAAGTAAGCATGGGACTCGGCATATGGCTGAGCTGATAGAACAGGTGTGCGGGGCTGTTCCCGAATAGCCTCGTACTGAGCATGAGCTGTTGGAATATCAAACTAGCTCATTAGAAGCAGCAGTTTCTTTGGAGGGATCCATCCATCCATTTAAATAAAGCCACTACAACCTGTGTTGGTAAGAACAGGTGGGTCTGGTTTCAGAGGCCTTGTTTCAACACAAATAAATACTACAAGCAAAATGTTGGACGGAAGGGTGTTTCTACACAATTCAACCCTTGCTAGTCACCTGTTTCTCACGACACTGAAATCTTTAAAAAGGCACACGTGTATTGCAACACACTGTGTTATGACACCTATGTCACTGAGACGCCCCTAAGCTCCCAGCCAACTGCTGTAATGCCAATTTCCAGTTTTCCTTTGGCACTGTGAGGGATGGGCAGGCTGGCTGGTCTCGGGGATGGTACATTCAAGGATATATCGATGAAAGTCAGATAAGATTTGGCGTTCCGTTTACTAGGTGTAATTAAGCAACAGGACTAGGTCTGTGGTAGGGCTACATACGAAGTCTCTTTTGTGAGTTTCTAAGGTTCTCAAAAGTAACCCGAGGGATGACAGACGGAGCATTCTGACCAAAATGTTGAGTTCCATCACGGCTCTTGTAAGAACCTCATACACTCACAAATGAGAATTCCTACAAAGCGCTGCCGCAAACTTACTCCTGTTGATCAAATGTTGCCTCTCGTCAACTACACGCCGAAAATTCTACCTACATGCAGCAGTTTTAGACACGCAGCTAATTCACGATGAAGAGCGTTCTGTTCATGTCTGTGATTCTTAAAACCCCCTTGCACAATGCATGCTGCCAAGATCCTGATTTAGTGAGGAGAACGAATGCCTGAGATTTCCTTTTCCTGGAAGAGTCTGACAGACTAATGCAACTTTCATCATTTTACAAACCATGACCTGAGATCATTCCGAGGACCAACCTTCGGAACTCATGCAGCCTGTGCACGCGTACACTGACCAGTGGGGCCTGGTGACATTCTGCAAAAAGATTTCAATCTCTGGAGTCCATCGAGGTACATTGCTCATTGTTCCATTTCACTTGCACATCGCGTAAATCTACCAATACAATGATTTATCTACTGGAGGCCCGGGTACATGGACATGTACTTTCCGTAGGCTCAGCGAAATTCCACATAACAGCAGACAAGCGGGTCGCTACTTGACCAAATTTGATAGAGCTACTGTGTGCATTAAAGTAAAGCAGAAACTAGCAGGGAACCGGCCAGCAGCAGCACCAACTGAATGCTACTGTGGCTGGTACCCCGTGTTTCCCCTAGCAAAACCTTCCAGTTTGCCATACACGACTTTCTGCTTAGCAAACTCCACGAATCCTGCCTGCAACCTTCTCTGGAGGCATTGAAATGTATAAATATGTATTACATTTGGGTAAAAGGAGTTTAAAAGGAAAACATTTCTGGCAATCTACGCAGTACACAGAATTCCATCTGATTTTTTGAAAGGGATCAGACGTTAATTTGTTTTGCAATTAATTTCAGGCTGACTTGTTTTCCGTTCAGAGAGGCACAGAGTAAGCTTGAACATATACATTTTTCCCACACACAACAGGTCTAGCTTTTGGTAGACAATAAAGACTATTTGGAGTAAGACATTACAATTCTATAACATGTTCCACGACATCATCAAGACCCAAACTGTAGGAGCCTTGTCCACTTTCCCCGAGCTCATCAGAGGGGGTGCAGAATGGAGATTCAACCACCTCAAAGGGGGAGTCTAGCATGTCACTTGGTGGCGGGGTGGCTGTCCTGACGTTGGAACCCACGCCCTTGTCCGTGAAGCTGTCGTCCAGGTTGTCGTACTGCGAGGCAAGAGTGGCTTGGCTGGCCCGGATCTCCGGAGACACGCCCCCAAAGTTTGGATTGAGTCCCAGGATGGCGGAGTCCAGTTCGTCCTCGGGTGGGAATTTCATTTCGTGCAGTCGCGGGTCCTCGTCTAGGGAGGGGTTGCCAAAGTCCAGACTCAGGCTGGTCTCTTCCTGCTCCACATCGTGGTAAACCTCCTCGGATGTTTCACTGGAGACTGCCACGTCGGATTTCGCGACCCGGTCCGTGGATGGGTCCACAAGGACGTCGTCTGATGCGTCGTGCCATACATCCTCGATTGAGTTCAGCCTCTCACCTTGGTCAGGTTGCACGTTGTTGAAATCGATGATGTCTGATTCCCTGTCAAGCATATCAAAGTTCAATTTGAGATCTGTCTCTGGACTACCACCGCTCCGTTCGTGGTCCATCACCATGCTTCCGTCCAAACGTATGAGTGTTTCCGAAGAATGACTCCCCCCCGGGGAGAGTGATGGTGTGCCCCCTTGAGGTAGGGTCGCACTGTGTCGAGATGATTCCATTGGGGAAACTGGGGGTGATTCTACAGGCCGTGCATTGCTCTGCTCAATGAGGAGTGGTTCTGGTTTACAAGGCAGTCGGTGTGCACTGCTATCTTGCTCATGTTCAGTGTCCGACAGAGACTGGATATAGCTGGCATCCAAAGTGTCCAAAAACTTGGGAATGGGTTGGTATTCTTCCGTCTCAAGAGGGGCGCGAGGGAATGACGTCCGTTTCCCAGACACCCCCTCCTCGGCACTGGTGTCAAATTCTGGCGTGAGGGCTCGGTTGCTGTACTTCTCCATGATGTTGTCATATTCTGACAGCACCGTGTCCAGACTGAACTTGGTCTCGGGTGGGAAGAGGTCATCGAATAGATCGGAGTCTGTGTTGGAATGGGCGCGGGCCGACAGGGACCTGGGCCGGGACAGTGTCCCATGGCCTGCGTCACCATCTGCCAGCTCCTCGGAGGTCTGTGAGTCCACGTCCTGTGTCTGCTGTGTCCCGTCCAGTTGGCCATTTACAGCAGCATCTGTCTGTCCCTCCTCCCCAAGGGCATTCTGGGTGCCGCGTGACTGCTTCCCTGGCTCGTTACCCAGGCTCAGCTCCCTGCGGACTTTGTTCTTGGCCTTCATGGCCCGGGTGATCTTCTCCAGCACTGAGGTCCCCTTTGATCCTTCGGGACTCTCCACCGATCCCTTCCGCCCAAACAACTTGGAGCTGGGCTCCTCCTCCGCGATATCAACCTCCCGGGGTGGGGCGATCCCAGACAGCTGCATGTCCATTGGCGGGGAGCTCTTGATCTTTCGCCGGGAGGGTGTCCCACTCCCTTTAGTCCGCCGTCGGACGGGCGTCTGGGGTGACATTTGCTCCCCACTGCTTTTGGGCCCACTCTCCAAGTCCTCGCCGTTGACGATGGGGATGAGTTTGACAGAGTTGGTCATCAAGGCACGGGCACTGATCTCCAGCAGGTTCTCCTCACCCTCGATCTTGGGCTTGGTCTCGGTGGAGATGTCTCTCGGTGTCAGCAGTGGCGTCTTGGGCGAGGTGACGTTGGAATCGGAGCTGCTGATACTCTGGTCGATCCATAGTGGGCTGGACTTCCGCCGGTCCTTCTTGCTTCGCCCGGCTTCCCCTAGCCCCACTTTCTTCTCAGGTAGGAAGATGTCATCGTCAGAGTCATCCTGGTTCTGCAGCTGCGTTGTGGATGCCAGGAAGTCCTCTGTTGCCGCGGCGATGGTGGCAGCATCAACCTCGAAGAATGAGTCATGGGATGAGGCACGTTTCAGGCTGGAGCTGTCTACACAGGCCACTGAGTTCCTCCGCATGATAACTTCATAACAGAAATAAAGAAGTCCATGTTTGGCAAATTCAGCAACTCACCTTCAAACTTTTGACCCCAAGTTTTGAACAGCCACAGAGCAACAAGCCTTATCGTCAACACTGCTATAGAAATCTGAAATGGTTAGCCAGAGTAGCAATCAAGTCATCACTAGGCCCTGTCTCAAGTTAAGTTACACGCTATTTGAATGAACTCTAGCAAAACCCATTTCTTTCAATCTCATGTCACTGATAATCACATGTTTCTTGTGAACTGCCTGGTGACACGCTATATATGACTGGCTAAATAAACAGGGTACCCCACTTAGACAGGTGAAGGAGTACGGTTTAGCAGTGAAGGTTTGTAACTCCTGATAAGACAGTCGGGGGTATGTGCTGTGTCCTTCAGCTAGCCATCTTGTCAGTCTCCACCCAGGAGTATAGATCTCTCTCACTGAATGCCATCTTTGAATTAAAAAATTTGCAAATGTTCTTTTTACACACGTACATGGACACACGTGTGTTGATCCAAGGATCTTCAAAATATGTGCAGCGCCCAGAGGGTTGTGGCATAGTTGTAAGATTCAAGTCGGGGACCCAGACGCGAGTGGTACTTTAACTACTTCCTGCCGGGAACTCCGAAATCGGAGACGTATGGTTTATATGTGTGGCTGGGGTCTCAGACCTCGGGAAAGGGAAACAGGGACTTGCAATAAAAGACCGTACTCGGAACAAAAGACAAGGCTGCTGGGCATTTCCGACATTTTTTCACTCTCAAAATTCGAGATAAACCTGCCTTGTTTTGAAACAGTATACCACGGTTTCGGGCATTTAGAGCGAGCGGATTACCATCGGGGACAAAAGCGCTCCACTACCACAGTGATGAGCTACAAAGTACCGCTGCATGCTAATCTGGCCCCTATTGAAAAGAGGTCAGCAGCGCACTGAGCCAGGTTCGTGAACAAAAGACTATTGCATAACACCACAAAATCTGGGCTCTTTTTACAAGGCTGCAGGCCTGGCTGAAATACTCAGGCGTCACTAGATTTTAGACATGCCTTCACGTGTTTGTGTCCAGTAAATGAAGATAGTAATTTTTAAAGAATTTTAAAAACAGAAAAAAATGATCAATATCCCGCCCCAGCCTCATCAACATTGAAAAATGCCCCGGCAGGAAGTGGTTACTGATGGTGACTTATCTACCTGGTTTACTTACCATTACTTTCGCCGCTGCGTTGGCCTTCGTAGCTGGAATTGCTGGAGGCCAGCGACTCAACGCTGCGCACCGATCGCAAGCTGCTTCGCCCCCCTCCCTTTAGCAGCTCTTCGCCGTCCTTCTTTTTGCCGTCCTTGGAGCCTGAGCGGGAGAAGAAGGCTTTCCAGCCCGGTGACTTCTTGGATTTGGCCGAGAAGGAAGCACGCTTTCTAACATGGAGAAAAAATGGGCAGATCAAACATACATGTAGCTTCAATGTACACGTGAGACTGCCCAGTGAATAGCAACAGTGAAAAAAGGCACAGAATAGTGTGGTACTAGTACATGTACATAAAGTTTGACGAGGTACATTAAATGTGATGTACTGAGAAAAATTCTTGACAGGAATCAGCAAAATAGCTACATTCTTGGATCAGTCAAATTTATTGCAATCTGCAGGGAATACAAAATAAGATTTCCAATGCCATACTATGAATAGACATTGTTTCAATTCAAAGTGAAGTGGTCCTCAAGCAATTTCATGGCTTGAGATATCAAAACTGATCCAAGCTGGAGCCTACAATGGTGCAGCAAACAAAAACTAATGTCAGGTTGAATGTCATTTTGAAACCAATCCGCTCCAAACGGAACAAAAGACGGCGTGTTTTGAAATGAAAATGACGGTTCTTTGATAGCAACTCACTGCGTAGGTGGGCAGGTTTATGAGTATTTGGCAGGGAGCATGCTGGGTACGCATAACAAATCTATGCTGGAATGTATGTGCAGGTGTGGCATACATAAGTGTGGACCTCTACACAAAAGAAGTCCACATAATGTACGGTGCGATGGCGTTATTTGGATTTGCGCACGTCCACACAATGTTTTCCCCTCTCTGGTTTCAGAGGCGTTTTGGGGCCAAGGTTATCCATGGCAAAATGAAGACGAACAGTCCAGGAAATCATCATCAAAAATCCAGCTCGAAGGAGTTATCCTAGTGGGAGAAAAAGGAGCATTTCCCTCAAGTTTCCTTAACCACAGGAGAACAAAGGAATGTCCACACTTTGTATGTACAACAGGTATATGTGGTCTTTATGTGTGTGCCGAATGCATGAAGGAACCATGTTGGAAAACTTCTCACCAGCCTGACCTTCTATGGCCAGCGAGGGTGCACTTCAACTCATTGCAGATAAAGCATTACAGATACATAACATTACATCAACTGTACCTTTCCATGGGTAAGTCTATGATGGTGTGGTACTGCTTTGGTAGAGCAGCCGGCCCTCCACCCACCTCGATGTACCTTGGCTTGTCCTCAAGCTCCGCCCCCTGGGAGGCGGTGCGAGCCCGGGCCTCCTCCAGAGAGAGGAGCTTAGTGGGGGTGGATAGGACCAGGGATTTGGGGCGTTGCATCTCCTGGCCCATCACTAGTGAGCATGAAAGAATAGGAAGAGAAAGGATGGACAAATATTCAGGAAATGTTTCATCAAAATAAGTTTTGCACTGGGCACTCAATCCAAAGATGGACCAGATGAGGTGTAAACACACATAGTTTTCCTTATTTATTCCACAGAGGACATGTACACTTGTTTAACAATTCTTTTTTCATTTCTGCAGTTGTCGTGCTTGGTTGGGTCAAAGCGTAATTGCAAAGTTGAAGAATTTGTGGTGAAAAGAACCCACCCCCAGCAGCTTTTTCGGGTAAGAAATTCAACGTTAACTGGCTGTCTCTCCGTCTCCGCAAGGTCCAACCTCTTCCCTGTGTGAATCATTTACGGTCTGCACTGTGGGTTTATAAACACTATGCTTGCCTTCATGCCTTCAGCATTTACTGGTGGATGGGAGGCGGATTTCCACTGTTATTAAATGCAACTTCAGAGCATCTATGTCACTGTGTACAGGGCTCAAGTCGTACATTCCCAAGCACAGGTGCCTTACATATATATTGCTGAATACTGGTTATGCACAAGCTGTCACATTCAAGCATGTGAACCACTGCACGCGCACGATGAGTTCTTCACAGGCTCTTGTGTATCGACCACGTAGACCAACATGTGCACGTACCGACAGCTATGGCAGAGTCTTAAGCACGGTTGCCTTGTCACAGAAATATCAATCGATGACCTGTACTCACATCTTCCTGGGACATCAGGGAAGAGCTTGTCATTGAAGATGACGTCAGCTTTGCGGATCAGATACTCCACCACAGTGGCCTGGATCTTGATTTCCATGAAAGCCGCTGCAGTGGCAGAAGCTAAGTCCTTAGACCTGAAGACCAAGGAACAAGAACCTTTCATTGATACTAAAGACAAAGTAGCCAGGCTACACTTCATCGCTGAGGCAGAAATTGTGACTTTTTAAAGAGCAAAGAAGAGTAAAATCCTTCACAACCAAAATGTATCAGAAAATCTGCAAGGATGGGGGTGGGGAGTCCAGGCGTAACTGAGGAGGTAAGGGGCTAGGGCTATGGTAAAATCCTTCACAAAAGAAACGGTGACCATTTAAAGGACTTCCACGTCTCAGGGCTCTAAGCCAAGCTTACATGTACCTGAGGACGTCTGGCACCCAGACTGTGGCTGAGCTGTACCTTTCCCGACGCAGCAAAGTCTTCACAACCTTTCCGTGGATTTTGACGGGAACTGATGTGGTTTAAGGGGCTTCTGAACCTACGGGTATTAAGGAGGTCGGGTGTCCTATGTCCTAGCTCTACCTTCTTAAATATGGCAACAGCCAGGACAGCATACCAATGGATTAACGGTCAAGATTTTGCGATTATAAACCTACCTCAGGATGTTGGGTACCCAGACTTCCACCTTCCTTCGAGTGCCAAAATCTTGTACAACGTACCAATGAATATACAGTCAAGATTCTGGAGTTAGGAGCCTACCTGAGGAGGTTGGGTGCCCAGACTATGGCCAGGTTCTTGGTGGTCATCCCAGTCTGGTTCTCATAGGTAGCCATCTTGGCCAGATGCTTGATCAGGAAGTGTAAGGTGCGGTAGTGGGGCGGGGGCAGCTGCTGGACGGTGTCATGCATCTTGAGGAGACGCGTCTCCTCCTGAGATGTTGCCGCTTCCTAAAAAGGATAAACCCAAAACATGCCGTACCTTGTGAATTACAGAACAGTGTGCCCTGGGCCAAACTTTTTCAATCTGCTAAGCAGATTCAGAAAATATTGAGGCAAATTTACAATGCTTTACTGATACTGTACCGGTATAATATGTTTGGAGGTAACCTCTTTTTACAGGGCAAACATTATCAGAGCTGAACAGCTCCACGAGATTGGTGCCCTGTTTTTTTTCCCAGAGAGAGTTTGTAGGGTACGTTAGTTTGAGGGAACAGGTCACAACAGCTTTTACTGAGTTTGAGGCACTAACGGAAGCACAGAACAACAGGAGTGAAGTGAGGTTTTTTTCAGCAGGGGCACCCAAAAAAATGTGTGATTGGCGTTGGTGGTTGAGCGGAAAGCAGGACGTGGTGGGTTTGAGTACAACCTGAGCGAGTGTTGAGACATTTTCTCAGTTTCATAGTGAAGCACAACCCTTTTCTATGTCAAAAGAAATGTTTTTCTTCTTCAATTTTTTCCACTTGTCGTGGAACACCATTTAACATTGCCCGGTGACACCGCCAGCTCCGTGGGGGAAACAGGGACGAAAAACAATCACTATAAGGTCAAAAGGTTTTTCCATGCGCACTTGTTAGGCATGGAGTATGAAGCGGCCTAGTGTCCAGACATAGTCTTTTGTCTGAGTGACCCGAGTCCAAACCACTGTAAGTGCCACTCGCGTCTGGGTCCCCGACTTGAATCTTACAACTATGCCACAACCCTCTGGGCGCTGCACCAGCCTCGGACAAATCTCCTACCCACCTCAAATTTCTTGTAGAGCTGGTAGGTCAGCAGCGGGTTGGGCAGCTCCCGGAAGTACAACTTGCAGACCGACGACACGCAGTGGATGTCCTTCTCATACTGGCTCAGGTCGGGGACCTTCTCGCTGTCAAACTCATCCCGCAGCCACTGGACTGTCGAGGAGACCCCCGACAGACGGTAGATGCCGTCCAAGATGCCCTTGTCCTCGATGAACTCGGTACAGGCCTGCACGATCTGGGGCACTACGTGAAAAAGGGAATTAGTGAACAGGTATCAAGCTGTGCTTTTGGTCCGGACGGTTGGGCGGATTGATAACAGCTTTGGAAGTCCCAAGTATTTGATTTTGTGAACACAATTAATGAGTTTTGGATCATGTTTCCTAAATTTTGGTGAAATGTCAAGTCAAGCAAGACGGCCATTCATGAGCTCTTTGTCCTGATCAATAATTGATCATCATGTTCCCAAAAATATTGCTGTCACACTGTATATCAGGGAAGATCCCTTCAAACATTAGTACTTTCATTTATCTTTTTTTTGTTGAAACCCTAGAATCCTGATTTCCCCCTGTGGACCTTTAGGGTTTTAAACTTAATGCTAACGTAACAGGGGCTAGGACAGAAACTTGGGCAGTTTATTATCTTAATCTTTTCCTTGACTGGTCCTGTTCATTTCATGTTATTATGCGTATTTGAATATCAACAAACAGGCCCGGCATGACAGCTGACAGAGTCAATGCGAGTCGCCGGTTGATTGCAATGCTTGTCACTGAACAGGTGCCAAGCATTAACAGGTGGCCCTTGGGGTGCGTGGAATGATTGGAGGGTTAGCATTCACTGGGGATTCATTATTTGGTTACCATCAGTGTCGCAGTTCAGCAGGTGTTCGCCCAGGTCGCAGCCAAACACTCTCTCCCGCAGGATGCCACGCTGCTTCAGGCCGCGGCGCGTCGGCCTCGCCAGGATGAAGGACCGCAGAAACGTGATCAATTTGCCGTGCTTGTTCAAGACTATCGAAACGGGGGACAAGAATGAACAAGGAAAATGCCATCGAATGTTTCTATCAAAACAGGGTTACCGGTGATCGGCAACAAATGACTGGGAATGGGCAAAGAAGGCCACAGCAAATCAACCTGCTGAGCTCGCTTGAAATAGGCTTAGATATACCGGTACCTACACGAATCTTCCATTAGCGAATGGTTGTTCACTTTCCATTTTACATTTCAGGAAATCCGGAATCACTTTCCAAGCATGTGTATCAATCAGAAACAAAGGGGAAGCTCCCACTTATCCACGTCATTCATGGAAGACCAGTTAAAATGGAAGAGCTACCGGTAAGTTTTAGACGTCTGTTCAACAGAATTTGTGTGAACGGCACTTTCCAGAAATTGACAGACAGGGCTAGCCTGTTTTGGACATGTTTGATTAGCTTGCCCCTGAAACTGTAAACATGAAAACTGATCTCTAAACCCTATTGTCACTGCTTTGGTTGGTTAACTGCTTATTGAGTTACTGTAAACTGTCCGTCTTAATTCTTGAAGAAACAGGTAAAGAAACATAGCATCAAGGAATGGTGCTCCAACTATGTTCGAAACCCACACACAAAAATAATCATCTGCTACATTACAACGTAGATTACAGATATGAACATCAGGCAAAAATCACCAATCACCAAACACCAAGCAATGGCATGCTATATACACACATTATCACAATCTTCACAATGCACATGTACGGTACATCAGTGACATCAGTTAGGTTCAATTACATTTCACAAGAAAATATCATTGAGAGAAGTGAAAGCATTTACATGTACATGTACACCAAAGCTAATAGCCGAACTGACAGGTGTAGCAAAGCAAACTTAAATGAGCGGAAAGACAGAAAGACCATTAATATTTCCAACAACCCCTTAAACTATTTGAATTCAAACTATGTTCGGAAAAACATTGCGATATTTGGATGAACTTCCAATAAAAGATGATCCCATTTTGTTTCGTGAGCTGAAATTATTGATTGATCTTCACATGAATCAAGAAAAGTTTATTTTACAGAACTGTATTAAAAGGAAGTAACAGAAGAGACTCAACCTTTCCTTTCTCAATGTTTGCTTGTTTAGGCCTTTTGGGAATCTCTTCACTAACAACCTTGTAATCCAAGTTATCTTTGAAAGACAAGGACGATGAAACATCAATTCTCAGTTTCAAACGGGGCGACATCAGCTCTCTCATGACAGGAACAACCCGCTGAATTCAAAATGGTGCGACATATTTGTACACAGATAAAAACACGACCAGCAATCACGGGCAAACGGAACAGTGTGGCTGTACCGGTACATTGCTCTGAAAAGACAAACACCATCGCATAACCTGCAAACCACGCCAGAACATGCTCACTGGTTTGAGAAACATTAATTCAGACAAACACAACAGAGAGAAAATTTACAACCAGGTCAATTCAACATGTGGAACGCAAAAACATGCAGCTCACTATGAAGCAAGACTATATCTACATGGACACCAAAGTGGCCCAGAATATATTTCCAGAAATAAACGGTGAATAAGGAGAGTGCAAGTCTTGTACCTGGACTTCCTGTCTCATTTATGCAGCAGACAAGATTAAAGAACCACGTGTGGATTAGTTTAAAAGAAGTGTAACCATCTTTTCACATGGAAAAAACATAGGACAGCGAGACATTTGACAAATCGAGAAAGAGAAAGTGGATGAAAAGATAAAGCTTACTGCCGTCTTGTCATGGTTTTTTTCTTGTCACTGTTCATGTCATGTGATTTGCACCACATTTGTACAAAAGTTACGGCCATCAAAACATGTATTTAGGGCATACACATGTACATGTATGCATGGTTTTGTGTTTGTACATGAACCCTCAAAAGTTGGCTAATACCGGTGCGTATCGCCTTCCCTGCCTGAAATGAATATCAAAAGCCAACCAGTTCAAATATTTTGAACTTTGAGATCATCATTTTCCAGTGTGGACCACAGAGATATTTAATACATTTGAGTCATAAGGGTACGCCATTCAGATGGTACATTTTTAATCCTTTAATTTTCTGCAACTGTAAAGACCAGAATTCCAAGAGGGAAGAAAAGGTATCAGATAAAGACGTATACAGAGAGGGACTAATTCTAGATGAACCCTTTGCAAACATCTTACCCGGACATGAGGCAGACCGAAACACTAACCACATCCGACATGGGACAGTCCACAAGAAACCAAGACGACATGAGGTCAAAAATGTAGTCAATTACGGTACATGAACTGGTGATGCCAGTGCACTGCCAGATCATTACAGGATAACTCTCCAGAAAATAAAGCATTCCTACTGGCAAATGCACGTACATGACAGTGAGCAGGAAAAAAGATACGCCAGACGGGGGGAAAAAAAATGGATTAGTCATTCCCTTTCCTAATTATGCACGGGATGAAACTCTTGCAGGGGTCATTTCAAAATGCCGCAAAATGAAATATCAGTCCAGGAAAGAAGTCAATGCCAGGATGCAAAGATGCTTAGGTTGGGAATGTCCGTACCCTTGTCATACTCCTTGACTGGGATCTGATGGTGACTACTGCGGAAGCCTACATAATGGGAAGTATGGAGAACAATCCCTGATATCAGAACTACCATCTGCATATGTTTCCTTACCAAGGCACCAGACTAATCAACAGTTGTCCATAGGCAGGCTACCTTACCAGAATCGATTCCCAAATTTGACTTTGAATTGAATAGAACACTTAACTGTTAGATGGAGTTTGGCTACTCTTAAAAAACGCTCCTCATCAAGAACTATAAATAATGAACATTTGTGTACACAGGCAGGCTACCGTATCTTACAAGGAATTGATCCTCAAATTTGACTTCCCTGCTCAGGGATTCTTTAAATTGAACAGCAGAGCAATCAGCGAAACTATGCCAACAGAGGGCAGTCTTTCCAATAAACCAACACCATCCACAGCACCATCATAGAGCCAAAGATGATAATTATTGGCTCTAAGATAGACAAACAAAAAAGAGGAACTGTTGGAATTCTGCAGCACTATCTGGACTACAGACTGTGTGGCATATGTATACATGAAGATGGGTCATTCCATGAGGTTGGGGCTGCATCCAAATCTCTTGTCTAAAGCTAGGTCTAGCTCTTCGCTCCATTGGAAATGTGTGGAGACGGGTAGACAATAGACCTAGCCGTAGCTCTGGAAGCCCGTTTCGGACACGGCCTGGGGCACAGTTTGTGATGTTAATTGTTACATGGGTTCCATAAAAACGAACAGCTATTTCCCTACATAAGGATTCCAAATTATACATCTCGCAAGGCTGAAAACAGAGATGTGTGTTACATTTACAGAGTAAATGACCTACTCTACAGGTCATGACAGGTGGTAACAGTTTTGGATGTAGCAAGGACACCATCACAAATTGTGCCCCAACCCATGGAATGACCCAGATATGTACGTCAATTCCAGGCCAAGTTCAAGCAATGACCATTTGTCCACTACTGGTCAGTTTTCCCCACTAACCTGTGCACAAAGCACAACCTGGACACTCGGCGAAATTGACCACGGATTGACGAATGACTGTCACTAAACCGTAACCTTAGGTTACCAGCCCCCTACAGATGCTGCCCTCCACCCCATTTGAGGCCCTGTCCAAACCATACGGCTACGGCTGGAAACAGCATGTGAATCTATGAAACAGTGGCTGCAGCCCCAATCTCCATAGACTCACGTGTTGCTCTCAGCCGCAGCCAGTTGATTCGGCCACGGCTTAACATCTGTTTCCTGTGGCTGTAGATGCCAAGAGAGGGCAGCAGACAAGCTTACAACAGCCAAAAAGTCCCTTACGGAACACAAACTACAAACTGAATCTCGGAAGCGCAGCAACAGTAGGAATGAAAACCACTGGGCATGTTTTTCACTGTCTCGTCGTACCTGGCTTGGGCGACCTTGGCATGATGTTGACCACCGAGGGCGGTATTTTATCACTGATCAGCTCTACGCACTGCCGGGGGAAGAATCCGACTTCAAAGCCATTTTTCCCCCTCCACCAGGAGGTGTCGACAGGTGGAGGCATGTCAATCACTGAGATCATGTCCCCTACCTAGACCCAAACAAATCAAAAATTGAAGACAATAAGACTAAACCATTACCTACGCTTCGAAAAACCAATGAAACCCTTTTTCACTAATTTAAACAGGTTCTAACATTCTCTTTCTACATGTATTTTGAGGTGTCCTCAAATTGAGGCATATCAATCAATGAGATCATGTTACCAGTGAATAAATTAGTGTCAATCTCAAAATATGGAGGGCCTGACATTTCGATCCAAGCGGCATCTTTCTCCAAGGCAAAATGACAAGTAGACAGGACAAACACCTAAATTAGTGTCAATGCGACTACAAGCACACACAGTAATTCTTGAACCACGCCGAGGATACAGCGTGAAAATGTGTACATTAGCGTAAGGGTAGAAAAGCTAGTATGTAAGGTTAGCCTGCATTTAAGGAATTTCTGACCTTTCTGAACACCAGTAAATGTACATTCTTGATTCTACCAAACACAAGCAGTCTGGTTCCCGGACTTCCTGATGGGCAGCTAACTCACCTCAAGAGAGATTTCATCGGGTGCCTGTGCCATGTATCGCTTGGTCACATGTGCAGCTGCTACTGCGGGTATGTTGATGGCAGACTCCTCGCTAGCTACTACGTGGTTGCCATGGTTATCGAGCTGAAATAACAATAAATTTCACATGTAAAACTCTAACTTTAACTTCATGCAGAAAGAAAGCAACAGTTGAAAATAAATGTTAAAATTGCTGACCCTGTCCAATTCTGAAAATGGATAAGTTAGAAAAAAATGAGCACAACTCAAATAACGAAAAAAATAAAATTAAATCAGTCACAAGTTACAGTAGTTGAACATGACACATATATTCAGCTATAAATAAACTAACTTAAGCTAATAAAATTTCTGAGAAAAGCACCAACATCTACAAAGCCATTTACATTTTAAAAATCAAAATGACACTGGAAAGGCTGGCGAAACAAAAAGATGAAGACGGTGACAGCAAATCTGGGTGAAGCATAAACTTCTCACATGATCAAACATCTTTAGGAAGGTGTCAATTGACATGTTCTAGCTGCCCACTGCATTTTCAAATACCACTGAAACAAGGAACGCTGAGCTACCATAAAGAAGGAAATGCATGTATGGTTTTGTTTTGGGGATCCCCTCAATAACAGGAAACACTGAGACAATTATCTTCGACAAGCTACGTGCCTGTCTAAAAAAAAGGCACTTTAAATGTGACAAGTGTGTACCACTGCTAAAGATTACAATGGATCATTGTATAGCAAACATACATGTACTGGTATATGGGTCATTCCATGAGGTTGGGGCACCATTTGTGATGGTGTCCTTGCTACATCCAAAAGTTTTACCACCTGTCGTGACCTCTAGGGTAGGTCATTTACTCTGTAAAACTAACACACACCTCTGTATTCAGCCTTGCAAGATGCATAACAATGTCAATTTGGAATCCACATGCAGGGAAATAGCTGTTCATTTTTACGAAACCCATGTAACAATGGACACTGTCACAAATTGTGCCCCAACTTCATGGAATGACCCACATGGGGTACATGCAATGGTACTTCATGGATAAGCTAGCTGTTTTGCACTGAGAAAAGAAAATAGATTCCTTGAAGCATAAGCTCAATATAATGGTAAGTGCTCAAGATGTTCGTTCACAAAAATTTAGAAAATGTAAAGAGCACTATGACGTTATTTACATTTATACTCTGAGTAAATTCTCCAACCATTAAATTACCTCATGCTTGCTCAGGTTTGTGGAATAAAAAGCAGCATGACATTTTGGGAGGAAAATCAACTCGACAAAATCTCAACAGAAGTACCGTAGGTTTGTGGTAGCACCATGCGGCAATTCTCTGGTGCGGGTTGTGAGGTTTGGAGAAGAGCCGTATGGGAACTGTATGTTATGGACAGCACGCTTTATCTGCTGTCAGGAGACCGAGACTTTAAACAATGGGTGGTGAAATTGAAAACAGTTCCTTCATTTCCTTAGTGTGTACATGAAGGTCAGTGATGGTGATCACGAGTAGTAACAGGGAACTCTGCTGCACATCAACAGATTCTCAGTTTCAAGAGAAGTAAGAGAATTAGAGTGCACATGCTGGCAGTCAGTGTTGTATTCGAGTCCATCACAAGTCTTATCACAAGTCCTATCACAAGTCCTTTCACAAGTCCAGTCACAAGTCCCTTCACAAGTCCTTTCACAAGTCCAGTCACAAGTCCTTTCACAAGTCCAGTCACAAGTCCAGTCACAAGTCCCTTCACAAGTCCTTTCACAAGTCCAGTCACAAGTCCTTTCACAAGTCCAGTCACAAGTCCCTTCACAGGGCCAGTCATAAGTAACAGGGTGAACAATGACAAAGGAATGCTTTTGTCACAGTTCATTTGAATAGCTTATAAATTAAATTGAATTGGTTTATGACTGAATGACTTGTGATGGCCTTAAATACAACACTGCTGGAAGTGCAGCAAAACTTGGGGCAAAGTTCTGTCAACTGAACAACTATTTGCAGTCGGTTTAAAGATGACAGCGAATTTTCGCACGCAATTAAAAAGTATGCAACACAGTGGAATTATCCTCTTCAATTTCAAAGACATGAACCACTGGTGAAATAAAACAAAACTTTCTCTTGTAGAGCAAAAACTGTACACGTTCTGGTCTACTGCACCAGCAAGGCACGCTGAATGATCAGCTGCGTGAACAGTCGTTCCTAGCCCAGCAAGCACATGATTCAATTCTGATTGGACATTCCTGACACGTCCACCTTGTTTTTAGCGAAGTGCATAACTGAGATCCTGCATTGAAAGCCTACAGTACACGTAGCTGTGCAGCGCCAAAGGCGGTACAAGCACCAAGCTCAGATACATGTAACAACGCGGTTGATTCCACATCGTGGAGTGGGGAAGATTTGTGCCAATATTCAACTCAACGGTCAAAAATTTGACGCTGAAACAAAAATGTGCCACTATAGACACTACGTGTACACGCACATTTATTATAAACCAAAAAGAATTATCGTCAACAACTACGGTAAATCAAAGCTGGCGACAAAAGCATGCAGAGGAGGGAGGGTTTTGTTTATAGGCTGAGTCCTTTACCTTCAAAGCATGTCCGTGATTATCAATCTTCGCCGAGGTGGACAGTCGAAGAGAAAATTGAAAATTTTTTTCTTACTTTCAGATTTCAACAAGACAATTTGCAAACAGCAGGCAGGCTGAGACAAACAAGTTCGACATCTCGGCCCCGCCACATGTTTTAACAATAAAGAAGCGGCAGACCCAGAATTTCTCACTGGGAAAGATAAGGCGGTGGAATCTACATGAGCAACGTACGACCAAAGGGCTCCACCAATGGACCCAGAATTGCAGAACTGTGCGACACAATTTCAGAAAAAGGAAAATTTGAGATTTTCAAGTAACACCATGCTGTACATACATGTACATATAATTAAAAGGAGGTCGGGGGGGGGGACTAGTCACACCCCTATCATCTTCCTTCTCAATCAATCACTCAGTATGCTACACGTACACCTGCTGAGGATGCCATGTACATTTAACTTAACAGTAACCAGTGTATTAAAGGGTCCACTTGGAACAGCAACATCTGCATTTCTGCCACCAGGGGGCCCCAATGCGTCCAGAGCGACAAGGACTCGTAGGATCAACGGCAAAAGGTGGGAATATTTTGGAAGAGGAAATGCTGGCATTAACTTGCTGGTTTTCTTCGCTAAGCCGTCAGAAAAAAAGCGTGGGGACTATGCCACCAGTTGTTCCTATCATTGTTAGAGGCTTCGTTTATGCAGACACCATGAGTGAAACGCCTGTAACGAGAGAGCACGTCAAAAGAACCTGCAATGTTCCATCGCATTTGTGACCCACTCTGCGAAAACGAGTCTCAAGTCGCTAGAGCCACTTTGGAATAAAAAAGTCCTCTAGGATCATTTTGCACAGTGTAGATCAATACGAACCCACAACTTTTTTTCACCATGGAGTATCCACTTTCATCAGGATGCCAAACTGAGAGATACATCAAGAACAAAAAACTAAAATTTGCTCTTTCCAATACAAATGAAAACTCAAAAAGTGGATCTAGCGACTTAAGACTCATTTTTGCAGAGTGGGTCACATTTAGCAGCTGTCAGGTACACGCATGTTATCTCAACTCAATTTGTCTAGTAGGGGTTTCGATTTCAAAGGATTTTTGTGCAGTCAAGACAGGAAATGTTTGAGACTGATGGCAGACCTCGGAATGAAGACAAAGATAGAGACACGGCCCAGATTTGGACAAAGCCTTCAATTTACCTCCATCCAGTTGAGAACTGGCCCACAGTTGATCATGTCGCCAGCAATCTGTGAGAACCTGCCCAGGTACCGACTTAGGATTCCCCGCACACCCTGAAAAATCACCAGAGGGAAGCTTATCACATTTAATACACATTTCAAATCGAAATATCGCCAGGACTGCCTACCCCTAATTGGTATCAAGAGAACCTGTGGTTCTTTAATCCTTACAGATCAGCTTGTCAGCAGATTTCTTGCAGTCCTCTTGACACCAGTTTTATGAAAATCTGATATATGGTTCTTGGGCCGTGTCCAATTTTCAAACACCGTCAGACTAACCCCTCGATTCCCCACCCTAACTTCAGTCTTGGGCAGCAGCTAACCGGGATCTCTTCATTCATTCTCCCACTCCCATCCACACCTAAAGTTGACTCATCAGATCGCCTTCTACAACACCCCTCAGACATCCGATCATTCTCCTACTCACACTCACACTGATACTCACACTCACCAGAGTATCGTCTGCAATGACATCATCATACCCAACTCTCCATTGTCCACCATGTTGCCTCCCTTGGGCAACTCCATCAGTTCATGTCTCCACTCATTCTCCTACTCACACTCACACTGATACTCACACTCACACGAGTATCGTCTGCAATGACATCATCATACCCAACTCTCCATTGTCCACCATGTTGTCTCCCTTGGGCAACTCCATCAGCTCATGTCTCCACTCATTCTCCTACTCACATTCACACTCAAACTCATCAGAATGTCATCTCCAACAACGTCATCACACTCACTTCTCGGTTGCCACCCTTGCCGCTCTTCCAGCTTATTTCTCTACTAATTCTCCTACTCAAGCTCACACTCAAACTCATACGAATGTCATCTTCCAACACTGTCACACCTACCTCTCGGTTGCCCACCATGCCATCTCCCTTGGGCAGCTCCACCAGCTGGCTGAAGCGCCGATCGTATATGCAGCTGTGCAGCTGCTTGTCCAGCACCCTGAAGTCCTCATAGCAGCGCTTGACCAGCCAGACCTTGCCGTTGCTACAGACCTTGATAGTGAAGGGGTTGTCGGCCAGGTCGCAGTGCCCGCCCCCGCCGCTGCCGTTCTGGCCGGGCTCTTCGAGATCAGGATCTTCATGCATAGACAGCTGCACCAAAAGATAGCAAAGGCCATTTGATTTACAGTAGGTGTGTGCTTGTCAAACTTTTACTCAAATACAGGTACTCAGGGTTTACGACAGTCGGGTTAGCCACAAGTCACTAGAGACACAAACGTATCTCAACACAGTCATGACAGGGCCTACGTACACATGCTTGAAAACAGTGGCTTACCAAATTGGCCAAACTCACTCCATTCAAATATGGGTCATTTCATGAGGATGACATTTTTGACGGTGTCAATTGTTACATGGATTCTGTAAAAATGAACAGCTATTTCCCTGCATAAGGATTCCAAATTAACATTGTTATACGTACATCTCGCAAGGCTGAATACAGAGGTGTGTGTTATTTTCACAGAGTAAATGACCAACTCTACAGGTCATGACAGGTGGTAAAAGTTTTGGATGTAGCAAGGACACCGTCACAAATTGTGCCCCAACCTCATGGAATGACCCATGTATAAGATCTGCATAGTACCGGTACATGTACAGTGCAAGCAGATTTATGCACAATAAAATCTGTGCACAGGAAACTATGAAATTGATTTCCTAAGAACCCTTCAGACCTTAGCCTACACACTGTTGGTGGTGACAATATTCATCAAGTTTTGCTTCGCTGGCATTTTTTGTGACTTACCGAGATTTGGCCCAGCTCCACGTTGTCATAATGGAAGTGAGCACAGTCGTTGAGCTTGGGAAAGCGACTAGTGCCGTCGTGAAACCTGCATCAAGTAAAAAAAAAGGGGGGGAAAAAGAAAACAGTGCAGGTGATGGTTTATGTTTAGACATTCTTGGGACAGTTCAGTCCAACAAACACGGGATTCCAAGTGTTGTGCTTTTTGTGCTACTGTTGCACTGGGTGATGGTGCTGTGCAGCATATAGCGATTTCTCATTGCTGGGCATACATGTACATCTACCACAGGCTAATGCAGGCGGGGTGTGCACGCTTGCTAACAGGAAGGCAAGCCTGTGACAGGAGAATTGTCTGACACACTGCCAGCATTCTCTGTCCCCCGAGCTGGACCAAGAGAGGGCGCAATTCCCCTAGTAATGGAGGCTCCTTTGGCGGGAACCGCACACGGTGGCATTAATACCATAGAAAAAACACTCCCCACCAACATGACTCTCTTTTCAACCGATGAGGGAGTGCTCCTGCTCAAGGCAAATACTCCTTACCACTTATTACACCAAAAAGCAAATTCCCGAGGCACTGTACATGGACCTAAAGACTTGCCCTTTTGTTTCTTCGATGGACAATTCATCAGGGTCATCCACGTGGCCCCCTTCCACGTGATCACTGCCACGGCAACCTGAGATGCTCGCATCTTCCTGATATTCATCACTCAGGACATCTCCTTCCACGATTGACAGCTCATCATCGTCTGCCACCTGACTGATGCAGGACAGCAGGTGTCGAAGCTTAAAGCCATCCATTATGGCTGGGTCTTTATCGATATTCTAGTAAATGCCAATCGATTCTTGACTGCTGGTGTGATTTCATTGCGCAGCTACACTGTACATGTACATGTCTCTGTTTTGGCAAGTTGAAGTTGTTATCAACGTTCTTATCACATCTCATTTGAAATTCCTTTCTTACACACGTAGCTCACACTGAGGAATTTACTGGGACTCATCGATATGAAATCGAAAAGTGTCTTACATGTAGGTGCTCCTGTCAATGGTACCAACGGTGATTTTTTTATCTCTGGGAAACTTTTCCAGGGCAAGCTACATACCAGTAGGTTCCTCCTGTTCAGATGGCGGCATCAAACAACAAGACGCTAAGTCAAACCATCCCAATAGTCGGAGTAAGTCAACGATGCCTTTCCAATCAAACACTGACGCCAGAAATTAGCAATAAATGCCGAACACCACCTCAGGCCGCACCGACTTTCAACTCACAACATCCTGCAGCCTCAGAGGATGTGTTCTAGTAATGATGACGGACGTGGAGATTCTCCAAGATGCTGATTTCAAAGTATTTGTTGATTCATTTCAATCACCTCTCAGTGAAGTTAAACTTCATAAGGTATTGTATCTTTGGTGCAGAAATGTGACCAACATGCTGATACATACATGGGTTGGCATCCATCTACGTGCATATGTAGAGCATAAAGATCAGCCTTGTACCCATACGGTCAACTCCAAAAATGACATCCCACCGTTGCCTGCAATCTTTCATTCTCTCTAGAGAATGTGAGATAACCCACAGCAGGGAAGTGTCTGGTTGACTGGCATGATGATGAAGACGCTGACAGCATCCCATCCAAACGTTATAGCAAAGTAACGTCAATTCCACAACTTATCGGTACACAACCATCAGAACAGTAACTTTACAAGTTTGCAAGCACATGTATACTCAAAGCCAGCACAATGTCCGGGGTACAGTGCCTGTAACCGAATATTCCATACTGGAATTGTAGCTGCACACAAGCAATGAGAAACACTGCAGTACATGTATGTACATTTCTATTGAGTCCAGTTGAGAAACATTTGAAAATACACAAGTACATGTACATGTATTATAAGTTTATTTTGTTTCACTTTCATTGGTAGTTGAGTCGAGCCTGAAACAATGGTCCAAAGTTCCTTGTATACTACGCAGTGAAACTAAAGATAAGGAAACACACACTGCGTTCATTGAAACATACAGGGACAAACACCACATAGTCACTTTCAATGTGTCCATGAAAAGCTGAAATAGCGATAGTGAGTAACTGATCAAAAGTTATACATGTACATAATTGGTTATTAGTGAGCGTTAGAGGTATGTTACATGTACTTGTAACTACATGTACGGTACCATCAAGAGTGCTTTTTATTGGTCAAAAATTCCAAACGTCATAAAATATTGTACATGAGCTCATTGTACTGGATGTTTTTCTGTTGTTCCTTTGTTCCTGACATAATTATCTGTAACAAGACGCGTTTCGTGAGCATTCTGTAAACAGAAAGTTACCGCACAGACTGTGGTGCCTTCTCGTAATCTCTGGAGTTTGTGCTTACCAAAAAGACATTTGTTTCTTTCTTTTTGACTTTGTTTGTTTTCGTTTTGGTCTTATGAATTCTGTCCAATAAAGGTTGCACCAGTTTTATCACACAGCGGCACCTCGCTTCACTTCTGATGCTGCACTTTGGGGTTAAGGTCACTGGAAGCTGGGAGAGAGCACGGACCCATAGTGGGATCACAACGGGGAGGCTAGGTGCCAGACAGGCCTCCAACCGAAAGCCCAGCTCAGAAAGTGCAAAGTGATACCCAGCCTGCAAATCCTACATGCACATGTATGCCAAATTTGTGAAAACAAAGTACAAGCTGTTTACCCAATGTACAGACTCCCTCTTCCTAAATTTTCACTTCGAACATACATGTACATGTACATGTACAGTACTCTGAGGTTTAGAAATGTTTCCATTCGCGGCAGCAAACAAGTCTTGAACAATTGCTTCTGCAGGTAGGTCAGAGGCAAAATACAAAAGTCAAATAACCGCTAACAACTCACAATATCATAATTTGAAACACATGTTTCCTTCTTTTCCATGAACTTTTCATGATTTTTCATTGAAGACAAAAGCAAAGGAAATTTTTTGCCAAGACCTTTTGATGTTGCAGATGCAAACTCCTGACAGGAAATGTGTAAGCCTACTCCAAAAGAGTTTTAGGAAGCAGGGATGCCGATGGCAGCTTTGAAGCCTCAGTATTTTTTCATTTTGCAACAGATTTTGTTGAACCATTAAATGTGTCAGCTAAACCAGTCAGCAAACAGGAAGATTGATTTGAGGAAGTGGATGCAAACAGGTGAAACAAAAACCCATCCCACCGGGCCAGGCTGTGTCAAGTTTCTGTTTGCATATGAGTCACTGACACCTTGTCATGCCAGAACAAATTCTCATTAAGAGGCACATGTACATGTTATTTATGTACAAGTACAAACCCGTTCCTGTAATGTCAGCATATGTTCTGTGTCTTTTGAGCTACACCTTATAATTTTTGTAACTGTCAGCGGCACACTACTTTTTCAATAGATTTCTAGATAAATTTCGGCTTGAACATGTACACAGTTTTAGGGCCAAATTTACAATCACTCTTGTGCTATTAGACGTACATGTACGTCTACATGTATCGGTACAGTGCATCTGTACATGTAGTTCATTATTATAGACCAACTCTATGACGTCTAAGACTGTAATTCTGAGAACTGCGTGAGGAAGGTGTTAAGGCATGTCTGAACAGACATCACTGTCTATGGCTACATGTAATTCTGCGTGGCAAAATCCAAAGCCTGAGCCACACAAGTACCAATTCAGACAGTCTTTACTTGAGTACATGTACGGTACCTGTACCGGTAGGGTACATGTTGTGAAACACAGACATCCATTCGGCTATATTCATGCAGTGTCAATTTGGGATTTAGTTTTTTTATTTCTTTGGCTTGGTGTTTTTATAAGTTCGCTGGCGAAGAACACTGAATTGTTGTCACATCATACCAAAATTACATTTTGCCCAATTCATTTTCACATTGGTTAACTCAGAGCATGGCAAGTTGATTCCTAAGGCTTCGACTGGGGCAGTTATAGACACATACAAGTCAGCCTACGCTCATTCTTGCTGTTGGTCACAGAGTGCCTTTAATGAGCAAAGCAAATGCGGCATCACATCAAGCAAATAAGACATCAAAAGTGTGACTCATCATTAACGTGAAACGTCGGCCAGTGTACATGTATTTTGGTCTAGGAAACCAGTTCACTCTTCAGCGTTCGGCGAAAAAAGTTGGCTCAACAGTGGGCAGTTCTACAAAACGGATTACATGTACTTACGAAGAAGAGGACATCTTTTTGATGCGGAAACTGGCTCTCCGTCGCAGGTTTGGCTCCCCATTGCTGTCTATTGTTGTCAGAGGCACCTGCAGACAAACAGACATTTCTTTACACTGGCCCCGTGCCTTTCAAAAAACAGGACAGATAAACAACGACCTAATATAAAAAAAAACTGACAAAACAAAGAGTTTATTGCCAAACGGTGGATAACTCTCCGGCATCAGGCTTCAATTTGGTAACTCAAATGCCCTGCATTGACATCTCCTCCTCACCCCATCCAAGCCCTCCTGCTTGGGCTGCCTCCATCTTCTTTTACACACTCAGCAATCTGTCTACGGTGAGACCAAAATATTTGAAGGACAGACTCAAAAAGTTAAAAAAGGGTTGAAAATTATTCTGGAATCAAAGAGGGTGCTGCAAGCAGACACAAAGCCCAAAGTTGAAAAAAAAAAAAAAAAGCCCCAAAGTTAAGAAAGGTTCTGCTCACGGTACACTTTCACCGATGGTAATGTTTTGCATATCCTTGACTTTCACCTCAGAACTTGTGTCGTGAATTGGAACTGGTTTTCTGGGCTAAGGGCAGATTTGCAACAAAGCACACCGACAGATTCCCATGAAGAGATTATTTCCTGCACAGTGTTTACAGCAACAACTTGCTTTTCAATTTCTATGCAACAAATGGCATTCCCAATCCACAGGTTTGGCCCTTCTCTTGAATGTACATGTACAGCACATGACAGGATTAGATTTTTCTGGTTTGTGAATAAGGATAACAGTTATTCTTATAAAGGTTCCAAGTTTGCTTGTTAAATAGGCCTACAGTACTGTAGGTACATGTAAATGTACTGGGATGGCTGCCAGGTGAATTTGAAAGGATCTGAGAGGGTCAGGGTTAAGGGGCTGGCATGACAAACCTTGGATATCAACTGCCCGCTGCTCTCGTCAACCAAGTGCACTCTTCCTGCGCGGATATCCGCATCATTTTCGGAAAACTTGCGAATCTTCTTGCCTCTGTGTAAGAAAGAAACGACAAGAAACAATCACGAACATGAGTGTGCACGTAAAACCAGATTGCTACTGCAGCGCTTTTCTATTCAGAAGAATTAGAGAAAGGACTCAACCTCAGTTCTGGTTTGAAATGTTGAGTGGGTTGTCTGGCAGTTCTTCCTTCGGCCTATCCTCCAACATCCATATGTACATGTGCATATGTACAAACCCAGCCTAGCCTACATGCATCTCATCCTCATAAGCAGTTCACCACACTGACCTCAAACAACCAGTGCCTTGTCATAAGAAGCACATACATGTACTTATACACCTACCTCAATATCAGAAAAAAAATGACGAAGAGATTTGAGCATGGTGAATAGCTATGATCGGACAGTGGACATACCGTAAAGACTACAAGGGTGTATCGGTACGTGTACTGGTACACTGTCTCTACAGATTGCTGGAATGGACGAGAATAAGTGTCACGAGCTGGGTACACTTCTTTTTATACTGTTTGGAAGTACAACTCATCCTAATTTGTTGCAACGGAAGTGTTATACATACGGTACATCTACATGTAGTAGCTCTACCGGGAGGACCCTAGCCCTACCCAAAGTGACCAAAACCTATACAACTACACATGTGCAAACAACACGGGATAAACTAACAAATATAAAACAGAGACTCGTGGAAAAATTCCTGCAGGCTCGGTCAAGCGAGAATTAATTTCGAACTCGATAGAGGAACTGTCACTCTACTCAATCAACTCCCTCACAAGCTGATTCTAAAGCCTCAACTAAGATTCTACTTTGAATGTTAAAACAAATTTGTGGTAAATGATCACGTTAGGGCTTCCAGTAACTTTCTACCTCTCTCTACACACTGTATGGTAGGTATATTTATACATGTACACATGTACTTTCCTCTTCAGAGGCATCAAAGAGATGGGAAACAATGCTCTTTACCCAGGTAAGTTTTGATGTACATGTGCATGAACTTCTTGATGGGGTTGACAATCCATTCTACAACTGACTGTATCATTCAAAGACTGAAGTACATGTACATGTACATATATGCATGCTTTGGTCCCAATAAATTGGAAGTTTTGTCAATGGCTACCGGCAGCCATAAAAGCACTCAAAGGCTCAAGGCCAAAGCCGCAGCCAAGGAAGTGCCTAAGAGGGGCGTGACCTTGCTTCTGGTTGATACCCCTGGAAAAGTGCAAGGACCCATTGTCACTTGAAACTGATCCCAGCCCAACCAATGATGACCAAGAACAAAATACAGAGCCAGAGGGTGTCACAGGCAAAACAAATTAGATAACAGGCCTCCATAGTACTGGGTACGTGTATACATTCTATACGAATGTATACACGTACCGGCATATCGTGCGCACATATCGTGTACTATTCAAGAACAGAGCCAAGATATGATCATTTTGGGGGGCGGGCTCGACATGTTCATAATACATGTACAGGCACTTCACATAAATAAGCAAGTGAAGGGAACAGTGAAACATCTACATCGAGATTCGCTTGAGTTACAGAGTATTCAACTTTTGCAGTTCTGCAATAACAATCATGCTTGTGCTCCCTTTCACTGCAATTATGAATTAGCCCGTAAATATAAAAAAGTGTAAATTTAATCGCAACATGTTTAGCTGTTAAAATTGTTTTAAAGTAAACCAAATTTCTAAACTGAGCAGGTGAAATTAACACTGGACAGATACATGTACATGTACACGCCACATCTGATTCAAGCCAGATGTCACACTAGACAAGCCAAAGATCAGGTCATCACGGTGTCTACCAACTTTTTTTCTTGGCATTCCTTTTTCAGGGCTTTGCTTATTACAGTCTCTTAATGTGCAAACATGCACTGTACATTGCCCATGTTGACTAGGAACTGACGCACAAACCACCAATTACTGGTTGAGCCATTTCCTTCTGCCCTTGTAAGACTTGACAAACATTCTGCAGTGAGTCAACCTGGGATGTTGCTGTTAATAAATCAGTAAGCTGGATGATGTCCTAATGACTTAGCGGGTACCCATAGCTGGGAAAGTTAGAACAGACTGTACGGAGTACCGGTGAACCAGTACCAGTATTTTTCAAGATGTATTTTTTTTTTTTTTTTGTTGAGCATACAGTGTTTATTAATATACGTTGGGTAAGGGCAAACCCGTTATATATATACAGTACCAGTATGTTGTAGTCTCTGCTCAACAAACTCAGAAAACACAGCAGTTTTTACAGCCAAGCACAAGTCCTTGTACCATAGTGAGCAAATTTGTCTTGGACTTATGTATCTCTCCAAACATCAGAACACGGTGGATTTGTTGAAATGTACTTAATAGTACAGAACAGTTCAGGCAACATGCATGACCACATACAACATACATGTACATGTACAGCAGAGTACATGTACATACAGTGTACATGTACATGTACTGTACACGTACATGTACATTAGTTTGTTTATTACAGCAGTTTACATGTACGGTACTTACAATAAAAATGTTATGGGGACCAAAAATGTTTTGGGGATATATTTGTGTTCCCCGTCACTTGGTCCCAACGTTACTAACTTTATAAAAAAGAAATTGTCCCCTTAACATGGGTAAGGTGCACCCAGACGCTTTTTGAAATAGGGGAAGGTGTACCCAGACGCTTTTTGTAATAGGGGAAGGTGTACCCGGACGCTTTTTGTAATAGGGGAAGGTGCACCCCGACGCTTTTTGTATGTACATGAGGAGGCTGTGGGAACTGGAATACATGTAACTGTGGGACAAGATTCTGAACTCACCTGCATGCCCCAAACTGGTTGTTCCCACTGTCAGAAGAAACATGCGGCCGAATATGAAAGAGAAGAAAGACAAAAATCACCAGTTAAAAATTGTCGAAAAACATTCCAAACGCAACCTGCAAAATATATTTGCGCATGGGTATTGGGTAACTTTACACATCATATCACATTTAACTGTGACAAGACTGGTTCGCAAGTGACATAAAACGAGTGCATTATACCGGGGGGGGGAGGAAACTGCCAGAAATAAGCAAAGCCAAGGGCAAACGATAAACTAGACTTATTGAAATTTATAACACACGTACCGGTAAAGTAAACTTCGGAAAAACCACATTTTCCCTGTAATGCTTGTTACATCAAACATTTCCGTCCAACAAAACAGGGGAAGAAACGTCAATTATCAATATAATGTACATGTACAGTCAATGTTTCATCATCCCTTCAGTGTCATAGCAGGGACTACATGGACCACTTCACCTTTTCCCATTCAGCAGCTTGTGAAATTGGTTCTTCAGGCGACACCATATTGTAGGCTTCAACGGGTCAAATGTTGGCATGGTTACACAGGCTCTTGGCTACCACATCAAAACATCCAATGAGATCAGGGAGTCAAAGTTGGACCAGACAAGGACGATGAATTCAATTCTCTATTTTCAACTTAGTTGACTCTTGACAGCAGTAATCCACAAGAAAGTAATGATACATGGACTGCAGAGTACATGTACCAAAGAGGTCTCGATTAAAAACTGCTTCTCTGAAGACTACCCAGTAGATGTACCATATTCATACAGTACATCACAGAGCAAACTGCTTTGCTAGCGGTACATTCCTGAGCTTAACTGTGTGTCTTCTACGGCCGCCTCACGAGATCTTGTCTGGCTTTCAGATCACGGCCATCAGTACCAGTCGCTGTAGGAAACCAACTCAATTCTTACTTCTGCCCTGAACTGGTCACCGCCCAAATCAGACCACCAGGCTGTGTTTATCTCGTCTGTTGAAATATTTGAGAAATCCCTCAAGAGTGTCTGATGCTCAGACGGCAATCGACTGGTGCCCGCGCTCAGCCGGTTCCAACTCAGCCGAAGGCACCCTAGAAAATGCCGCAGTGATTGGAAATTCTGCTACATAGTCAAACGGCTAGCCAGACAGAATAATCACACACGTGCCCACGCTTCAGTGTCTGACCAGTGACTCTGCCCCAATGATTGACTACCAACAATAAGAGCCCCAGATCAGGCGATGACTTCCCGTGTCAAAACCGGTAACCATGCCAACCCGACCTGCTGTTGCATCCTCTCCAAAAAACAAATCCCACTGTCTCTGTGGTTTCCATATCAGTTCTCAGCTAAACAACAGACAGAATAACAAACTGCCCAAAAAACAAAACAAAAAAAGCAACAATGGGATGCCAGCATTAACCATTTCCTTGAGGATGACTGGCAAACACAATGAGTCAACTTGTTGCTGATGTGGGCTGTGAAAGCTCCCAGTCACCCTCAAGTGGTGGTGATGCGTTCACTTTTGGATGATAACTGAATGTTTTGACGATGGGAGAAAATGGACATGTACAGTAACAGCCTGCAACCTCTTGCACAAAATGCATAACTGCATACGGGAATTACATATTCATACATGTACATATGTGCCTGTATGTACTAGTACATGTACCAGTACTGTACATGACAGATCTGTTGCCCAGTGGGGCAATGCATGTACATGTACACTTAAATGCCCACGCGTACCGGTACAGTGGGTACCAGTTACCGCTACAGTGCACTTGCAATCAATTTCACTTGAGTGAAATTTGAGCAGTGTGATACTTTGAAAATATGCTAAACTTTCTTTACATGTAGAATCAGTTCAATCCCAAACTCAAAGGCAGTGTTGGTACTGTAACCCCAAACAGATTTCCACTTCCCAGGCTTGGAGAACAAGAAAAAAATAATTAGCTTTCTCAAGTTCAACTTCACGATTAATATGCAATAAATTCTGAGGAAGAATGGTACTGGTACAAATGTTTTTTTTTTGGAAAAGTTGCCATGTACGTGTAGGGTAGGCAGACATGCACAAAGCAGATTGTCGGGGTTCTTGTGTCTGGTAAGAAATTTCTCACTACATTGCCGTTCTGTTGGCTGGATTATTTTTTGTCTTCCTAACAGGATATGCATGAGCCTACATGTTTTCTGATCCCCACGTTTGTACACATTCTGAAAGATACTGTATATCACAGGACATTATTGTCAACTGGGCTGCCGAGGAGAGATAAAACAGAGCTCAACAAGCCTCAGCTTGCTCTTTTGGGGTGACTCAATCCCACCTGGGAAAGCCGCACCGCCTTCACCCCCAAACCACATGACCCCGTAACCTCAGAACCTCCAAACCATAGCACGATTCCATCCCAATTCCTGTTGTTCTGCGAGGGACGGAAACAGCCGCCTGGACACAGGAAGATCCAGGGAAAACGAAAACCCCTTGGTCACACCAGAACTGGGACGGTGATAAAAAGTTTAAGGCCAAAATGCACAGAATTAATTAAGGTTTGTTGAAATTCAGAGGTACGGTACTGCACACACACCAGGATACACGTACATGTACATGTACACTTTACACCCCTACGCACACGCAGGCCTATATTGTGTGCATTAATTCATTTATACATGTACATGTACAGTACGCACAGTCAAACTCTCCATGCCATCTCCCCACACACTGTAAATGTACAGTACGGTATCCGCCTTGAGCAGAAGCACCCCCTCATCGGTTGAAACAAAGCCATGCTGGTCAGGAGTTTTTGTTTAGTTGTCAGTGATGTGCACACATCGTAGGCATCTCATAGTCGTTTGCGAACCAGCCATAAAGTGAAGTTCCTAACTTCCTATCAAACTCCAAAGGAGCCTCCGTTGCTTGGAAAATCGTGCCCTCTCTTGGTTCAGCTCAGGGCCTGCGCGTAGAATTGTATTTTTGCCTGCTGGGGGCTGGTAAAACTGGTATGGCTGGCCATTAATTAATGTACATGTGTGTATCAATTTAAATCAACAGAATATCTGACAGACTGCCAAAAAAATATGCAGCTTTCACACCACTGAATACTAAAACACTACAAAATACATGAACAAAATTCAACATATTATGACCCTCGTTCAAGGGGACATGCACCAGTAGCAGCAATCAATTAGTTTCAATACAAACCTTCAAAATGCAGTTTTGTCTAAGTTAACCTTACTTCCAACTTTTGTTTCACTATTTCAAAGGGTCTCTTTCTGTCGTTTTGGTTTTTGTGCTACTGAGTACAGGTAAAAACAGTGGTATTTACCGGTATGAACAAAACTGTGATACAGTGTCGTGACAAGCCATTTTTTCCCCAAGTTAATTGCTGATTATTGTATGGGGGTGGTACATGTTCATCTTTTCCAGCTGTGCAAAGAAGTTTCTTTCATTTCAGATCATGTAAATGAACCGGCATGAAGTACCGTGAACAATGAATGATACAACGCCTCAAGATCGCTGCATGGGGCATGCCCCTGCCGGCCTGGCTGCACAATGCATAGTCAACCAGGCAGCTTGCTTAAATGCGTTCGCCAGCCCACAATCAAAAGGGTCAGCATTGGACAGGTGTTCTTTTCAACTGATTATGAGCGGAAACTCAAAAAGTCTGTGTTTATTATTTTTAACAAACGTTTATCACAAAGTCAAATTGAGTCCAAGTCAAGTAGCAAGTCGTGTTTCTTTCAAGTCAAGTCCTAAGTCATTTTTCCCAAGTAAAGTCAAGTCTCAAGTCAAAAAATCGCCACTTGAGCCGGAGTCAGTAACTCCTGTGATGTCATCCCAGGACAAAACCTTCAAATGGCACTAGTTTGTACACGAAAAAGTCCTGCATCGTAGACTTTGCTGGACTTAATTTTCTCTTCCCTGCCCACTTATTGTCATTCACATTATATGCATACCGGTAGCAATAAGCAAGTCCACGAGTCCATCCCTTTCTCAGAAATGTTTTCACTGAGTAAATTCTGGCTTCACAATTTGAACAGAATTACTCATGCACTGAACAATGTTGTCCCCAGATGACATCACACAGCGACAATGCCCTCCAGGAAAGTTGTCTAGGAAAGCATTAATAATTTGAAGTGTTTATAAAACTGCACTTCTCAATGTACATGCACAAATAGGACGGTTACTAGTACATTGATGAATACAAAGTTACCGTTCTTTTATCAGGAAAAAATCCACTGCAGCTACACTTTAAAAGTAAACCGGCAAAAGGTTCATTTTTGAGGTAGAATCTGACCCAAGCAAGGGAGATATTTCTGTATATTCTAGACACCTGTTCGATTCAATTCAATAACATTGAATTGTGGAGGCAACATCTTCACAGCTGAAGCTTTTGGTACAATCGTACGGGTAGTGAATAGGAGACATTGTCTAAAGGGGCTCTATGATCTTCTCAGCTGAACTCCTGCTGATGCACTTTGTTCAGGTTCACTTGGGCCACTGCCATACTGGTACCTGGGACTCAAGCAG